AACCTGAAGGGGGAAAGTTTTCAATTAATTTTTGTTTGTTCCAATTTAAAAATTTTATTTTGTTTTTCTATCACACACTTACTATTTTCATGTAACTATTTTTTATAAATATGTAAATTAATTCAATAAATAATGTTTATTTAAAATTTACATTGATTGTTTTCTTTTCAGAATGGGGGGTGGGGTAATATCGACTTACGCAAAAATATTTTGGGGTAATTGTTAAAAAAGTTCCCCGACCGCTGCTCTATATGATGCATCACTGCACTGAACGAAACACTTTGACAGATTAAAACCTAGCAGCGCGCATATTCTATTAGTGTAATGCTTATTGATTTATCTTCAATCTATCATTTGATTTTAACACCGCGTACATTTATTTACATTCTATAGGTTCTACAGTTTTCTACTACTAGAGGATGTATATAATGTTGTAGCTTTGCAGGTTTTTTCATCATCTTACCGATTTGTACTGCAGCATTTATCTTAAAGTATATATCTCTATGTGATTTGTTCTATATGTGTGACTTCTGCAGGATTTGTCTTACAGGTCTATTCTATTACAAGACTACAAGAAGTATTATAGGATAGTCTTGTGTCACAAATAATAATCATGCACTGATTGATTGCAATTACCCAAACTTATTCTTTTTAGATGAAGTGCCCATAATTATAATAATAAGCTACATCCGGTGTATTGTGTTTGGTTACAAAAGCGAACATATAATATCGAATTACGTTAAGCGGATCATCGAATCGCAATGTTTCCGCTCGTTACGTGAACGTTATAATTTCGATCTTTAGATTTTATTCAAATTTCTCGATGAATGCATGTCGGTTTTGTCAGAATGTATGAAATATATATATTTCACTGAGAATTCATTACATCGGTTTGAATTAATTTCTAACTAATTAGTTGTTCATACCATTGTACAAATCGAAACTAATTGAACCGCCGATGGGTATAATTAATTATATTCAAATTGAAATTATATAAATACACACATGCATTTGGAGGGACATGTAGATACATAGATGATGCGCGCACATGTGCGATTCGGTGTGCGTTACGTAAATAATTAAAACAGTGAATGACACGTATTCGCCGCTTCATTTAATCCGCGTGAAATTTCATACCGAACTATTTTCAATATGTATTTCCATGACGTGTTCGATACCACCTTTCACAATGCCTGTCACGTCGCGTGCATATATATACGTTTTTTTTTGCCACCCCATCCGTTGAGCTATCCGCAATAATGGTTTGTAAAGATGAAAACCGTATTAAGTATGAATCCGAGTAGGAAAGGCGGCAGCAATCAAAATATTGTATTGTTGTAGAACTGAAAATCCGCTGCAGAAGTTGTAGAAGAATAAGGAGGAGGAGGAGGCATGACCTGAATTCTGGTGGGTCCTACATTGGGAGAGCGAACGTTGATTAATTCGCACCAGACGGCGACTTTTCAATTGAAACCAATTGGACGGTCAAGTCTCAGACGATACAAGATTCATTGAAAGCGGACTCACTTTCATTGAAGTTATTAATCTGAATAAGAAAGTACTACTACTTATATTACACAAAGAAAGCTAATTCACTTAAGGGTTTTCAAATCTTTGCCTACAATAACTGCAAACTAGTTATTAAAATAAGAGCTTCTAAAACGATTAATTATTCAAGAATAATTACTTTATCGTAATTGAGCAATGAAAATGCAGAATATGTGTTATCTGTCATATTTGGGTTATGTGATACTGGTTATCAGCACAATATTTGTACTTGCATTTTACAGATTTCAATACTAATGATTTAATAAACATGTAATTTAAGATGTTCGTAATTGAATAGGAGGAAAATGTTTATACAAAATTTCATATTTCGCTTTGATATTTTTACCTTGCTTTGTTATTGAACCACGGTCATCGCATAGCACAGTAAATATAATTTTAAGATTTATGTCCAGTTGTTTGTTTTTCTTTATTTTACTTTATTTTTTGTTAATGATGTGTGATCTCTTGGAGTTTATTCCCGTTTTGATGAGTATAATTATGGTCTTGTTGTAGATACGATTATGAGGTTTTGCTACAAAATTCCACGTTCTGTCTAGTGCCTAGGGGTCGCCGCCTGGGCTCGTTCCGATTCCTCGAGGTCCTCCAGGCGGGATGCATACCTGTCCTTCTCTCGAACGGGTGGGCCCTGCCCTTCGCTCAAGTTATAGACTGGAGCAAATCTGTACTGTGGGCGGACGAGAGGCTATTGCTGCAGGTAACTTATATATATATATATATATTTCAGATGAATCTTCGAGTATACAGAAAAATGATTGTTTCTTTTAAAAACACATTGCTTGCTCGATTCAGATGAGTCACAGAGCTCGGCTTGTTTTCTTAGCGTTCTACCAAGAGCGAAGATCATCTTATTTAGAGCTTGCTCTTCTTTTATTTTTCGGTTGCAGGTGCCAAATGTTGTTCGGTCCATATCTGCGACGAGGATCCTGGAATTACGGCAGCAGTCGCAGGTCCTATGGGAGCGTTACTTCTCCTCCATTGAGAAGATCGTCTTTACGACGCTTGAGGTAAATATAATATTTAACGGAATATCACTTGAAACTGGACGATCAGTCAACGTTTAAAATATTCATCATCATCCTACTTGAACGATTGTTTATTTCATATGTAAACTCAAATACACGACGATGTGAATTCTTGTTAGACCTTGACGTGTTTGGGAAACTTTTCCCATTTGCCGATTTCAATCTTTCGATGTTAGTAGCTATATCTAAAATTAGTCAACGTATTAGTAAATACATCAACAATGTTTCGCGGATTTCTTGGAAATGCGTAAACGGTTCGGATTTAGCATCCGGAAGGAAAAGCAGAGTTTCTATTACTAGATTCCATCCACACTGCGAGCAATTAAATTCGGAATCGATGATGATTTATTTTTGTTGGTCGCTGTCGTTGAATGGATTACCGGGGGCTGAAATCTGTTGACGGCACTTCCGCACCAAGTGACGTCCCTTCCGGTGTCAAATATAACGTAAGCCCGATCGATCCGTACTCGGCGTAATCCACGAATTGACCCAAAGCGAATCAGCTAAATGGTCCATTAAATATGCCCTCATTGAAGATGCGAGTATATCCATATTTCAGAACGTTTCACTTAGAATCCAAGACGACTCGAGATAAGCAATGATGGGAATTGTAACCGGCTTTTTCTTCTTTCTATCCACTCATCCGATAATTCTCACTGCCAACTTGTCAAATCACTAGACAGGGGATAATCGTTCCGAGAACTTCTTTAATAGCTTTGTATAATTAATATCGCATTTGCAGTACTTCTTTTGAAAGACTACTTTGCTTTTTATACTTACAATTTTTAATAATAATATCGATTTGCTGTCTTTTGTAAAACATAATCCCTATTCTGTTGCAACGGAATAGAGTATTATATGCGGGTTTCCTGAGAGCGGATTTTAAATCGTCTTTTCATTCTTTTACAGTTTTTCTACTAAGCTTCGAGTAATTAAACTATTACTTCTTCTTCATTTAGTTTTTTAAACCTATTAAACGAGGATTAGAGCGACTGGGATTCGATCGTTCTAAATTTGATTTTGTTGCATATATTCCATCATCATACTTTAAATAATCCTATCGTAGTCATGATCAATTCATACACTCGTGACGTGGCACCCATAGCGAACGGTAATCCAGTTAACCAGTGATAACAATCATCCCGAAGTTCGCATAATAATGTAGTCCTGTTATGTATGTGAAGTTCTCCGGCGTATTCGTACCGACGTATTAGTTATACGGCGCCATAGAAATTAGGATCATTGTCAAAACCAACTTTGGGCCATTGTTGTTGTTGTACGAAACACAAGTTGTTTAAAACCATCAGCGGAACAATGCTGGGCGTCGAGCCTTCCTCCAGCATTCCAATTTTTACCGGCGACCCGTTAGAACTTCGCAAATTTACATAATCCAATTCTCGACGTGAGATTAGAACCGCACGAATCGATAACTACCACTTGGATAACACGGAATACGCAATTTGATCTGGCAATAACTTTACTACGTGCTCCACCTCGTCCATCCAAAAAGCGAAACACATATTCCTATCTCAATTTTCTTATTCTAATGGGATTTATTTTTTAAATAGCAATTCATATTACATCATAGTTATTGTTCATTTTATGATTTACAATCATAATTTCCTTATTGTACAAAAAATTACTTACCTCATAAAATTCTTCAATTTTAATGTTCTACTTTATAGTTATTACTATTTTGATTATTTTTTAACATTCTCAATTCATTGGAGAATTATTTTTTTTACTTAGTTAACTTCGGAAATTTTATGGTTGTCGCCTTTTAAACGCAAAAGCAATAATGTATTGATACTTACAATGATTTAATGGCAATTTAACAAATTTTACACATCACATAAATTCTTATATTTTACTGTTTTTCTTTATTGTAAAGTATTAATTATTTTTAATTATATTTATTTTTAAACATTTTCAAATCTGCAAATTCCAAAAGTTAATAGGTTATTATTATGCCACCATTCGAATAAATATAAAAGAGACGCTTATACCTAATCCAGGATTTTTTTCGCTCGGTATCTGCGAATATTATTATTACGTTCCACTTTACAAATAACATTAATCAGAGGCAAGGAATGAATGTAGGCAAGACGAAAAATACTGGAAAGTAACGAACATCGATCCGTTGAGCTATTGACGTGGCAAGCTATTTTTTTCTGCTTAACAAGAAAAAACAAAGAATCCAATTCTGTTACATATTAAATTACGTCTACGTTTTTCATCAGTTTTTTTTTCTTTCATTCGATTGATATTCGAATGGATGAAGGATCGTAATAAATAATGGAAGGAAAAAACAATTTGGTTACATTGAGACCTAAGAAGTTTGCTGAAAACGATATGTATATAAAGCGGTACAAGTGTGTAATGTATACATATATTTAGTCTATGCATTTCGAATATCAATTGATTTCATTGAAACTTGTCAAGTGCATTCAGATTGGTTGATCAACGAGTTTGATTTATATTTCATATAGTTGGCGAATCAACAATACAATATGCGGAGTTAATTGAATACGCACAGTGCGTACCTGTTAATAAATTATCAGCACCATCATCGATTGAGCACACTGAATTGTTTCACGTTGTTTGCTTGCAAAACAGTAGGAAAAACAAATCTAGCTGAATTTTTTCAATGCGAAAGTTGAACGTGCGGAAGGAAAATGGTTTCGTGTAATGCTGAGTAGGTGGTCGGAGGGGTGGATCTTCTCCGATCTCATCAAGTCAATGGAGCAGATGAGGTGTTTTTGGTTCAAGTGCCGAAAGGCTTATTGATTCGTGCCACCATCGATGTAATTGTAAATGGAAGAAGTGTGTTCGTTGCAACTTCTCCGACACTATATACTTGAAGAACAGAATACATTACGATCGTTGCAAGTATTTATTTATTCTTTTATTTCTTTGTTGCAGATTATAAGGGAGAGGCTTCCTCAGCAGTGGATTCGCGAGGGCCTCATCTGGAATAACTCCCCAGGAGCTCTGGTGACGCTTCCAAACTATTCCGACTCCTATGCAGATTTTCCTTTTCACGCACAATCCTATTCTGATCGTTTCACTGCCGTCGTTTACTGTCAGATTGGATCACCAGTTGTACCGTCATCGCCGCTCTATCGTCTCGTCAGCAACGTGGCTCGCAGCAAATATGTTTCCAGGGTAAGCATTATACGCCCAATGGCAACACTAATCAATCATGCTTCAAGTCATTACAATACAAATACTTCATCAAAATTGCATGCAGTTCAAAGTTTATTTTTACCATTACTTTAGTTTACAGACTAGATAGTAACATTTGCATTGTATATTAGCAAAGATAACTACTTTTAAATAAGGTTATTTCATTAACCGTAAACTCTTTTATGCATGTATACTCAATTATACGCTCTATACCAAATCAATAAAAAGTATTGTATGTCATAATGCTACCTACTATTAGGAGTTACAAAGCAATGAATGTCACCAAATAGATCAAATTTATTTTCGTCCAAAAAATATTACCATTTTTTTTTTCATTTCACACTCTAATAATTGTGTGTATGAATTTTAATACAATTATTTTGATGTTTCATTTATTTATACAGATTATTTGTACTAAAACTTATCGCAGCAGTTATTTTTTTTTTATAATTTCCATAGCAACAATTCCTCGGAACATTTTATTAGCTGCAAGCAATTCCACGATAAATACGTATTCATTTAGTGCAGCGAACCTCGCGATTACAAATAATGAACTTGTACCCATGGAAACGGCGAACGAAGCCAAAGAATAACTAGTAATAAATTGATTCGCAATGAATCGCGAACGTTCCATTCATGAATGAAATGCGCTCCGGAATCCACAGCGCTTACGTTTTTCACTAGGCAGGCACGCTGCAAAAAACTATTTGTTGTGAATTGTTTACATTCCTACGGCGTGCTGGCATTTCTTGCATCTGGCCGGGTCCTTTCTCGTGCGTTTCTGCATGTAACTCACGAGCCGGACACATGTTTGCCTCTGTATCCAAGGGATGCTGCGAAAGGGCGCCAAATACGTTATAACCTTGAGCAGTCTTCTGAACATTCCACACATCTGGCTTCAGCTTGTTTACATGTTTTCACCTTACTTTTTTTTTTCTCAGTAACCGTAACCCGGCTTTCTCTGCAAGAACTCACATATTTATAAGAAAGGGATGATTTTATGCAGTGACTATTCTCATCTTTTTTGTTTGGCATGAAATTTGCTACCCAGGATTCGAATCGCATTATTGTAATGTTGAATTGATCTCTTATATAACTATATACATTTACAGACTACATGAATAGACACAATTTTATTTTTTTGAACAAAAATCACCATTTTTGTATTCAACTTTTTCGACGATCAATACATCTAAAATTATGCTTTACTGAACGAAAATTAAGGTAATCATAATAATGTCACCTTTCCAGTTACGCGAGGACAACGTAAAACTATATATCAAACAGTCACGACTAAATTCATGCAATTTATGAGATATATTTTTTTGTATGTTTCAAGCACGAATTTCACTCAAATTGATTGCGCAATTCGGAAGAAGACGGTGACAATTGATTGTGGGTAGGAACATTTAATAGTTTTCTCGTCACAATCATCGGCGTCTGCATATTTGTTGTTTGTTTGTGAGCAAGAAAGAAATTGGCCGAAGGAAACGCAATTTTTCGTTCATTGTTTACATGCATTCCGTCCGGACCATAAATACCCGTTTTCCCAACGCAACTGGGTCACTCATAAAAATGCACGGAATTTACTCTTTACTCTTCCATTCCCACGCTTCCTGCTGATCAAAGTTATGTCATCCGCCGAACAAGACAGGTCATGCATTATATAAGTTCAAATTGTTATTACTAAATAGGTATAGAGGCTACGGATCAATACAAATTATATTTTAATCATATTTTAGGAAATAGTATAGTATACAATATTATAAAGTATTACACAAAAAATAAGGACATAAAACTGTAGATAAATAATGTGAACTATTGGGTATACAGATCATGGAGTAAGGTTGAGCCGTGCCAGTGGGGATTATTCAAATGTTAGACGAAACTTTTCAGTTCGCAACTGAAATCTGTTTCCCGCTGATGTACTTTTTTTTTGGATTTGGATGAATTATGTAATCGTCGCCATCGATCAGCGAAAAAGTAGATGCTAGAATTCTCAATAGTTTATGTCTCTTTTATTTTTGGAAACAGCCGTCGTTGTCGCATTGATCGCATCTCAAAACTTTTTTGAAACAAACATCCGGCAGAAATATTGTCAAAACAAAGCAATTTCTGAAACCGCTACCACTCCCATTGTTCCTTCGAAGCTCAGATTAATTGCATTCCTAGTTGGAAAAGTGCATTTCTCGCTGCCTTTTTGTCGTCCTCGTCGCTCGAGCGGTTATGGTTATTACTATTTCCTTCTCTGTCTGTGAAGGGTAATTATTAATTTTCGTGCACCGAGAACCATTCGGAAGCCGGGGCAGTTACTTGCACGCATTCGAATAATACATTTCGAGCTCCAATGTTGTATACGGTTTATGCTATGCCCTTTTTTGTGTCCTGTTTTGCGGACCAACCACAACGTATCGATCCACCACCGCTCACCATTTCGTCGTCGTCGAACATTAAATATTCCATTCAATCTCAACAATCCTGATCCGCTGTGTCACCTGGGATTCATTAAAGCAATTCCATTCAAGATGCCATCGAAGGCGCACCCCCACGCTGCAATTGATCATCGTTCAAGTCCAAATCTTTCATACCTAAATCTACATACATCAAATTTTTATATAATTAGTAATAATTCAAACAAATTTGAAGTTTAGTACTAATTTAGACCTAACCTAACCTCAGGTTAGGTTAGACATTAAAATTTATTTGTAGTAAGAGTAAAATACTTATTGATGTATTTAACCTAATTATATCGATGTTTATAACTGATATTTAGCATCCACTTTAGGAGCGACGAGTTCGTGCCATTAAGTACACTCTCGGAGTCTTATATAATTATAGCGAAGATTGAATGAAGGTGCAATTAAGTCCAATTGACGGACAACGATTTGGAAAAAAAACTCGCGTCGTCATTGATGGCAAAAAAATGATTTTGGTCTAAACGAAAGGAAATTGCAATTAAAATTAATTTCCAATCGATGCGACTCACTTTTTAATTATTCGTATGGGCGGTGTTAATTGGTTCTCTCATTACAAGATTCATTTTCAACATTCATTGAAAAGCAAAACATTTGATCCCTCGGTGGGCGTTAATCGGATGATTTGTTACGCTTATTTTCTTCTTACGGTGCTGCTGCTGCTGGTTGTAAGCATTACTTATTGACGGCATTTACATAATATAGAAACGACAATCGATAATACTATTTCTTTTTGATGGTTTGGAAATGGCGTGTCGCTCAAGCGGAATTATTATTATTTGATTTCCAATTAGTTCGTGACGTTAAGCCATGAAAAATAAAATGAATAAATTTATATAATTTTATCTTAATTTAGAGTGTAGATTGTGACAAGTATTTATCCTTTTTTTTAGAAAAACTTTGTATACTCGTAATAGTTTGCATGAGAATAAATTATATTTATATAAGTATACTTCTTGATACACCGAATTTTAATGATTTCTCAATTCACAATTAAAATATTCAGATTATTTAAGCTATATGATATACTTGAACAAATGCTTATAACATAAAATAAATGCTGAGCAACGTTGAAATAAATCCCAATATAAGATTACACACAATAAATTTAAAAAAAAATGGAATGATTGCAAAGCAAAATCATGTCAGTAGTAAGTGCGTAGATGTTCGAAGTGTAACAAAATTATATAATTTCCGAACTAAAAATAGAATAAGTTGTATCGCATATCATACGCAAATATTAATTTAATTAATGAAATTGTTAGTTGTCATTAGTGGAGCTTATTCCAATTTAATTGATAATTAAATGTGCAATTACGCCGCACTAAATTGAAAATGAAAAACAACAGAATACGCGAATGCATTGCATTTCCAGTCTTCTGGTATGGGATTTAATCCGAATATGAATCTGCGGTATTTGTTTGCCGGATGAACATAACCCCGCTGCTCAGAACTGCATCCCCCATCAAACTTAATTAATTAACATTTCAGTTTGACTTCGACTTTTCTATGTATACATACATATATGCGCCTTCAAATCAATTTCCTCCCTCGGAAAATCTAAACTCTGCATATATATATACAGTCCAACGCAAAGCAATTAACATTTAATTAAATTACTTACAAAACGGGAAACCTAATTCTTTATAATGACTGCTTCTATTTTCTCCTGAAAAGAAAATAATGATAGTTTAATGTAACTCACTTTATTTCAATTATGTATTTCTTTTATCTTAAGTAATTGAAATTTTCTCTTTAATTGACATATTCAACTCTCAATGTAGAGTGGATGGTTTTGGTTAAAATCAATAATTGCTTAATAATTCGAATTTATTTTTCTTGCTTTTTGCATGTGACATGCTTTATTCATACCACACACTTTATAATCCATACTTTTAGCTTGAATGTTAACTGTACAATTGAGCATAAGTTGAGCATAAGTTGATATATTTGAACTTCAAATTATAACTTTTAAGAGTAATTTGTATGTAAAATAAATGTCACTCTATTCATCCTACGCATTTTATTCAACATTATTTTAGCTTACATTTACATATTATGCTTTTACTGAGTCGTTTTTTTGTTGTTGTTCGAAACTCGCTGTATGAATATTCAGTGCTCAGTAGAGAAAGAGTTATTTTAGTAAAGTTCGCAGAATTCTATAGACACTGGTTTGATTTTAATTTTATGAACTTTTAATGTTATTTATACGATAACTAAACATCAGTTTCAAGAAATCTTGAAAGAAATGTAATCCGAGTTTAACGACTTCGTCTGCAACTTAGACGTTAAATGTTTAAGTGCATTTCTATGTATTTTTTTTTTAAATTTAAGTAAATACTGTCGGATACAAAATTATTGATTTATCTTAATAAAGTTAATTTGAAGATTTAAAAAAAATAGTTACAAACTTATTTTTTTAATTAATCATTTGATAGTCTTACTGAACAGTATTTTAATTATATTATAACAAACTTTGAAAAGTTAAATTCTCTTTTACGCTTCCGTTCGTTTCTTAATCAGATGGTATTTACAAAACGAATTTTAAATATTTGATTTATTTTTGTAAACTAATGATTTATAATTTGGAAAGCTGATGGTCTATATTGTTCTATTTATGGCAATTTGGAATTTTTGATTGGACATTCGCATGCATAGCAGCGCACTGCGGTATTAAAATTACGTTTGTGACCCCAAATGGAGGTGGTTGGTAGAGGCAGGATAAAAAAAAAGAGTCGGTGTTACGGGAAGGGGAGGTGTAGCTTGCATGTGCTTGACGTGCGTTCCGAAGGGTCGGGGATTTATCCTGCTGTGTGCTTCTGGTTTGCAGATTATCATTGTTTGGTCGAACGAGCATCTACCTATGAAGAACCGTTGGCCCGCGATGCCCGCCCACGTTACCTTGAAGATTCTGCAGGCCGGATCGGATCCAATAAAGACAAGCATCTCGCAACGCTTTTATCCGCATCCATTGATCAATACCACGGGTGTTCTCTCTCTGGATGAGGATTCTCTACTGACAACAGACGAAGTGGACTTCGCCTTTCAGGTGTGGAAGCAATTCCCTGACCGCATCGTAGGCTATCCGGCCAGGTCACACTACTGGGACGACGCGAAGGGCTCTTGGGGATACACTTCAAAGTGGACTAACGATTATTCGATTGTCCTCACTGGAGCCGCCTTCTATCACCGCTACTACAACGTCCTCTACACGGAGTGGTTGAGCCCGCTGCTGCACAAAACGGTGGAGCAAAGTCAGAACTGCGAGGACATCCTTATGAACTTCCTGGTTAGCCATGTGACACGCAGGGCTCCGATCAAGGTCACCCAACGGAAGCAGTACAAGGAGCAACCGCTAGCTGGTGGATGGTCTCCGTGGAACGACCCAGACCACTTCATCCAGCGGCAGACCTGCCTGAACACGTTTGCTGCTGTCTTCGGATACATGCCTTTGCTGCGCTCGAACTTACGCCTAGATCCCGTCTTGTTCAAGGACCCCGTCTCCAACAAGAGAAAGAAGTATCGTCAGATCGAACTGGTGGGCAGTTAGCTCGAGCTCACGTCAACAACTTCCTCCTCCTCATTCCCCGATAGACATCTGCAACTGGATCCAGGTTACAGCTACCTGCCCTTCCCTGCGTTAACAGAAGTGATGGTTTGCATATCGCTGTATAAATATAATTATTTGTAAATACATTTTATACATGACGAGCAGCTAACATTAAGATGATGAAAAAGAAGAGAGAGAAGAGAGAGTTAAGAGCGCAGCTGCCTTTGAAATCGTTTAGCCGCCCAACGTTCACTCTTATCATTATGAATTATCAAACTTTCTTTTAAATTCATTCCATTAGTATGATCGTGTATTTTTTTGTTTAATTATCGGTTTGTAAATTAATTTTTAATAATTCCTAGTTCCTCGCTAATACGAAATCAATTATATATTATATATATATATATTAATTAAGGCATTATTATAATTTGTACTTAATGCTGAAACTGGCCAACTCCCAGTGCCATATTATTTTGTTATTTTCGTTTATTTTTGTATATTATCATAGCTTCAGATTGTGATTTTCTTGATCGAGATATTAATTTAATTAAAATGAATTAAATATTATATACAAAGATATATATACACTTACAGACAAACGGAAAAGAAAGAACATATAAATAATTTATTTTATTTTGTGTTGTGGCATATATAAATATATATGAAAAATATACAAAATATATATATATATATTTAGGTTGTTAGTTTAACATTGTTATATAGTGTATAATTCTATAAGAAGATGAGAAGAGTGCGCATGGAAATAAGAGTTTGTTTTATTTTATTTTTTTCGTTTTTATTTCTTGTCCAAACAACTTACTATCTTCTTCTTTCAGAGTCATTGTTATTTTATAATTTTAATCATCCTATGTTAGAGTAATATATTTTTATGACAACCCTGTATAAACAAAACGAGAAAAAAAAAAGATAAACCTAAGGCATAAGAGAATTGTCTAGCGTAAAAGAAAATGTGAAAAAAAAAAGTGAAAAAATAAATCAATTGTATGTTTTGTACAATTTTGTAATGCAATTTTAATAATATAAGTTGGAACTGCAATTACATCATCTTGTCACGGCGCTTCAATTTTATCTTGATTCCTTCCTTAGTCCTTAGTACTATGTCTACGAACAATTTGATCGTCTCAGGCGTATCGATTGGATGCAGCTCGAATTTTCTGAGCAACGATACAAGCATGCTCTTCATGCTCAACATAGCGTACTTTTGACCTATGCAGTTCCTAGAACCAGCACTGAAAGGTAAGTACGCATACGGGTGTCTGTTCTTCGAGTTCTCTACTGAGAAACGCTCTGGATCGTAGCGTTCCGGGTCTGGATACAGATCTGGGTTGTGGTGTGTATCGTAGATGTGCAATAACAAGACTGTTCCTTTGGGAATGATGAATCCTGTACTAGTGTTTATATCCTCACCAGCAATTCGGGAAATCAGCGGAACGCTTGGATAGATCCTAAGTGACTCCTTAATAGCCATTTCCATGTAATTCAAATTCTGCAAATCTTCGTAATCGCACTCCTTGGATTCGCCCAACACGGACATTATTTCCTCGTATATTTGATCCTTTAATTAAATCCGTTAATTAATTGCCATTATACAAATTATAATAATAATATTTATTGCAACAAAATAACATAATAAGAATAATAAAACAAATTTCGGGCAGAAAGACCTATGATCAATAGCCCTTTGTATCGGTTGACTTTTTTTTTAATTATATATATTTATTTTGTTCTTTTTATTTCTGTATATGTTTTTTTTGTACGACTGATGCAATAAACATTATTATAAAACAAATTGATTTGTTGCAAAGGGCTGCTGACCATAGGTCTTTCTGCTCAACAAATTATATTAATCATTAATTTCGAATAAAGCTATACTATGTCCATCTGGTGGCCTTTCATTTCTTATCACTAGATGGCAACACAGTAGTTTTGAAAGTTTCAAATGGATACATTATTAAAACAATGGACACTTACTTGAACATGTTTGTTACATGCTAACAACATGCAACAAAAAGTCATAGCCATTGAAATTGTATCGTGGCCCTAAAACGTTCAATTAATTCGGCTTAAACAATGAAGTGTTCGGGTCACTTACCTCGAACATGAAAGTGTCCACTTCCTCTCTGATTCCATCATAGCTGATCTTTTGATCATCTTTGGCCTGCAGCAAAAGATCGAGCATCGCCAAATGATGTTTTTTGTTCAAATAAATATCTTCATCATTTTCAACGTTCACTGGAACTTTGTCTTTCTCTCTTTCATCAATGATGTTCTTCGTAAATGTCTTCAAGTAAGCAAGTGCACGTTTTTCCGGCAAGTAATTTTTTGTGAAGAATTTCATAAAGTACACGTAGAGCCAAGGCCTCATTAACTTGTACATTATGAAAGATCCCATGCTTCAAACAATACCTGATCAATATGAAACCACGCCACGAAAACTTACTCATGAATCGCTTTTCCGTATCTGCTTTCTCCCTCGCTGTCTCTCAAACACGTACCCATAGCGGCTTCAGCAATCATATGTAATGAACATTTATGGATATGAGGAATAATATTTATTTCTCCATCAGTATTTATATCTTCCGCAAAATGCTTGGAATGCTTATTGAAAATTGCAATAAACTGTTTAAGAATTTTGAAATGGAACGTGGGCGTAAGAATCTTCCTACGCATCAACCATTTTTCTCCTACAATGAAGCTATTACTCAAAGATCATTATTATTTGCAATAATGAGTACCAGTGCTCCTTAGTAACCCTTCTCCCAACCATTCTTGAAGTACCAAGTAGACAGGGCCTTTGTCATTATGTTTGACATTTGATAAGATTGTTTGCATATCATCTGGTCCTATCACGCAAATACCACCGTAAAGATGCGAAGACCATATTCTATACAATGGAAAATATTCCTTAGCGAAGCGTCTGAAGTTCTTGAAGAGGACATCTGAAAATATTTTATTTATTATGAATATTATTTTTTAAACCATGGTAATCCTACCTGTAGGTACTAGAATATCCTTTAAATTCCCAATGATAAAATAATCCTTTGGACCCGGAAGTTGGTTAATACACTTAGCATTCGAAGACAACAATTGGTACAATTCTATTCCCATGCATATCAACACAAGCAATAACAATGCAATTAGCGCGTATAACAGAATCATGTTGATCCCTCTGTTGTTTAGTGACAATTAGACTAATTAGTGTATAAGACTTCTATTTAAATAAAGCATTCCCCACTGTTTTATATCAAATAATTGCGTTCAATCGCGTCTGACTGATATCTTATTTACAGAGGTTAATAGTTCATTGTAAATATCGAATTTACGCTATACATTAATACGATATAAAAGTGTATAATGTTTAAAAACCAAGAAAACAAAATATACAGTAAGTTTTTATATTACACGAATGCTTGTTGTTAATATCGCATGAGATGTTTAAATAGGTTTATTATTAGTTTAAGTACAATAATATTTACAGCTAGTTTTATGTTTTCGAATATATATTTAATAAAAAGATCTATATGAGTTGACACGAGTCTAATTGCAGTTTACAGTCTATGGATTACAGAAAGTTATTAGTATAAATATACAAATTAAAAAAAAAAAGATAAAAATGTAATTAAAAAATAATTAATAGGATTCGCCTAGCATTTGTAGCACTTTTTTCCTTTCTGCGAATTATCCTTCGACGTGAGCGTAAACTGCTCCTTATCCTTGGAGCTCTGATCGTTCAGAAGCTCATCATTTTGAAGGATTTTGCTGATCAGCGCGTTCGCGGCTTCCTGAATATTGATGTTTTCCTTCGCCGAGATCTCATACCAGGCTGTGAAGCCATGTTCTTTACAATACTCATCCATTTTTGCTGGATTATTTACTATGCCTTCGCGCTGTTGGTCGCACTATAACCGAATAATAAATTGCAAACTGCAAATGGACAAACTTTAAATTCTTACCTTATTCCCTAGTAATATACACGGCACCGGTGAACCATCAGGCAACTGTACTTTCGAATCCAAATCGGCTTTCCACTTAGCTACTGACTCTAAGGTATAAGTCCGAGTCACGTCGAACACTATAAATGCTGCTAAGGCACCGTTGTAGAACACCCTGGTCATATTGATAATGTTTTCTTGACCTATCATCAAACAACTAGTTAAGATCTTCGCTTGTTTAAGAAAAATTTTATTTACCTGCAACATCCCATAATTGGACGCGAACTATACTTTTATCGTCGAGATGGAGAATCTTCAGAGCAAAGTCGACGCCGATCGTCGCTCTGTATGTTTGAGAGAAGAAATCATGGACGTATCGCTTAATAAACGATGTCTTTCCGGTAGCAAGATCTCCGATGACCAAGATCTTGAGCATAGAGTCTTTAAGTTTGCCGTTGTTCTGCGGTGACTGTAACATATTTAATAGATGTTTAATGCAATCGTGATTAGGCCAGAGTAGCGGGACAACGAGTGATAACCAGTTGAAAAACACTGGCTTTACAAAATATTCGTAGTGGCGTTTCTGAGGCCGAACTCACCCCCCCATCGGGGCTGGACGTTATCATCTAAAAGTAGTCGGAGCAATTGATGAAAGACGATATACCGAAATCCTTGTTACAACCGATCGTATTTCATACATGCATGTATATTTTTGTTTGTTTTCTTATTGCTTCGTTCTTCCATTTTTGTTAGCATTTTTATGTAATAGACACTGATCGACTTGCTATTTGGTCATGCTCCATATGTTTTGTACTACTTCCTTCTTAGACTCGAATTACTAATACTACTAATTCGAACTCAATGTAGACTTGTTTGTCCATTTTAATCATCGAAATCCATAACATTTATTACGAATGCGCATTAGATCATTTTTTTTAGCAATAGCTACATCTTATTACATCATGGTTATTTTTTATTGCTCAGGACCGATTTCATCAGAAATGTCAACTGTAGATTGCACGGTCGCATTATTAAATTTTTTGATCTATTATCGTTTTGAAAAAAATAAAATGTTATTAATATATTTTTCATATTCATTACTTATATGAAATACGCAAGATTTAAATTTATTTTTGAATAAATATTATTTTATTATTGAAAAGAGGTCGTTTTTAATGATTGTTGGATGTAAGAAATATTTATCGTATTTACAAATGATACTGAGAGGCATATTATTTCTTGAAATTAACTTTATCTTGTCTAAAAATAGTTTCTTTATGAAGAGATAAATATAATGTTTGTGCATAGCTACTGTGGTACAGCAAATGTAAAAGTTACCTGGATACTCGTTTTTGTGAAATTCATCTTTCTATTGTAAACAAACATATCTATTATCCACGTATCAAATATAAACTGGTTTCAGTGTTTTCTTGCAAATAAATATTTTCTATTAAATTAACGGAGCATTAAAAGTAGAGTAAATTATTTACCTTTTGCATTATTTTGGGGCAATTATTGTGAATATTTACCGTGGTGCTTGAGTCTAAGATGAGATCGCCGTAGGCGGGCATTTTTTTCACGTTTTCGAGTGATTTCGTGCGGCTTATGGTGTGATCGCTTTGCAGCTCTATCTTCGTGTTCTCGATGGTGATTACGCTCTTGGAAGTGGACGGCTTGTCTTCGGGGAGTAGATTCAAGGCTTCGACGCTGTTCCACGTGTTATCCGCCAACTCCGAGCAGTCGTCCAGTTTGTCGGGAGTTCTCAGCCCTTCTCCTGAGCTCGAGCTGTCACTGGACGCGCTTCTCCTCAGCCGGTACTTCTTGTTGGCCGACCGCGAGTTCCTCTTAGCCGTCTCCTGGACTTCGTCCGGTCTCATTATTAGCACTTGGCGGAAGGTAAACTACGGGTTGTCAAGATGTGTACGGCTTAATGAAGTGTCCAGGTTACAAATAGTTGTTTCTTACTACTGGTAGTGGGGAAACACGTGTGCAGTCATTCACATATTATCTCAAGATAATAAATATTGAAGATATGTGGCGCACTGAGGTGGCGTAAACAAGATTCATTAGTCGATCGTACCTGGTTCGTTAATCTAGTTAAGAACCCGATCGTCAAAGGTTTCGCAATATTTAAAGGGCTTCTATCTCTTTTGCGTGCGTTTCACGGAAAGCGGGAGGTTTCCATTGTTTTTTGTTTTTCATTCGATATCGATATCTCCCACTGAATGGACTTTACAATTTTTATTTATGTTATTTCTTGACAAAACAATCATTCGGGATCCATGATTTCGGGTTAATCTGACTTAAGTCTAGAGATGCCTTACCGATTTTGCCTGCAATTTATGTCCGCATTTCAGGATATTGTTGTTCTCCTGTTTGGTGATGTTCGCCGAGGGTTCGTTGCTGTTGCCATTCAGCTGCATTCCATTCAAGGATAGGTATCTCTCCCTGCGCTTCGTTCTTTCGCCTCTGGTCCTGCGGCTCAGAGCACGCACTTGGACGACCTCGTCTATCATAGCTGGATTACGACAGAGTGTTGTATAGCGCGAAATGGGCCACCGATTCCTAGCTTAACTGTGCGTCGATGATTGTGCGTCCGTTTTGATAAATCTTTCGGCCACTGACCCGCCTATTTTTATCTTTAAGATATTACCCTTATGACCTATACCGGAGGTAACACACATATGCAAGTGGGATGTCCAAGAATATGAGACAATTTTATATCAGCGCTGCCGCCTGATTACAGAGCGTCATTAATCTCAACCATACATGCACGTATTCCCATACAATGCACGCATTTATATTTAGAGCCATCGTATTCTCATTCACCATTGCGACCCAAACTGTAAACAACAATACACTCCAACATCATTAAAAATAAACTTCTTTCTCGAGATAATTACAAAACAATAAGAATTATCGTTTTCCGTAAAAAAAGTACCAAAACCACTAATATATTTATTTTATTGTCCATATATTTTAAACAAATATTGCCTTTAGTACTTAATTTATACAATTATCAAACTTTAAATACAATAAAATTGATTTCCAGCAATATTAGAAAATTAAACTAATAGTTTACTAATTTTAAAATTATGGTATTTTCAATGAACCGAATGTTTTGCTTAATATTATAAAATTAATATTTATTCTAGTAGGTCAATGTTCCATTTACTTTTTTATAACCTCTTTTGATCAAACTTGATAATTTTTTATAATTATTATTCTTAATTTATGTAATATTTTAACTAAAAATACACGAAGGCAATTTAAGTGCCGGCCAATAGGCAACCAGAATTTCGCTGATTTGGTCTATCGACTAAATATAATTCGTCTGGTAATTAAGATAAGATTGCAGTTATTGCGATTTGTTGCTGTACATCCAATTGGTTTCTTGAAGTTCACATCCATGCGTCTTCAAACTGTAATCTCGCTTAAGCGGCCTTCTTGTTTACTCTTGTATTTCAAAAATAAGATACGGGCTTGGGTAAATACCGATTGGAAAGTTTTTACTTACCATTTCTTATGGTCTGAGAGCTATTAGGAAATGAAGAGCGCCCTCGATGGTGCGGACCAGCTTCTGGATATTTGATTCACGTCTGGAACCTGCCCGGTTTCTTCAATTTTCGCAACAATTAATGAGAAGTAAATTGAAAGACAGACTGCACGCGGCACTCTTATCAAACTGAATGTCAGCTGAACATTTTGATAAGGGATAACGGGAGCACGTCTCACGTTGTTTGATAATTCCCGGAGCGTTGCCACCTCCATCTAAACATTTTTGAGCGCATCAAAATATTATCAAACTTTCAATCAACCATAATCCTACAGTAGTATAATTTTGTTAAAAATAGCGACTACAGCTTTCTTGACCTAAAAGTCACCTAATTATTTTATAAATACGATCAATGGTATAATGGAATTGAATAAGTAAACAGTTTGCCTGCAATGCTAACATTGATATAAATTATGGTATAATGACTAGATACTAATGGACACAACTTAATTGATTTTGCCTTGAATTTCCATAGAAACATACAAATCACAACAAGTGGCTGAACAAAATGAACGGTCATTCGGAGCTCGAACACGTACATGAATTTAAGTCCGCTAAATTATGTAGCGATAACATGTCTGTTGGTGTTTCTCGCGATCCTTGCGTGTTTCGTCTTCTACTTTCGAAAGCGTCTCAAGAAAGCTGAAGATGAAAATAAGAAGCTGCCACCGAATACCTTAGTCCTCTTCGCTACCGAAGGAGGTCTTTATCTGAGGAAATCAAGGCACGTCACCATGGACAAACCTATAAAACCGGCGAGGAAGAGGCACTGCTCCATCGCGGACATCACCAGCTCATACGAAATGGCAATCTGTGATACTTAAATAAAGGAAACAGTGTATATTATTTTCTTTACAAATATGTCTGTTCATTTCTGAACCCAACAAAACAAATCTGTTTACTGAATAGTTTATTTTCAGGATTGGTCAGTTCATTATTCAATTCTATGACCCAGTCGTGTGTCTATAAATACCAGTTTTTGGCGAAAACAATACAAAGAATTCAAAGGAAATGCAACGGTGACAATAATTCATCGATGTTTATCACTGAGATATCTCTACGTACATTATGTATATATATATAATTTAAAGCTTGATGGTGTGATGTTGCGTAACGTTCTGTTTACGTAGCGAGGATAATTAATATATTGAAGGTGATAATAAATACTCGTGATACAACTGTTATAATTGAACGTTTTGTTCCTTTATTTTAAAGATGCATAACACTGTAGCCATAAGCGCGTAGAAAAAATAGTAATAATACGATAATAATCTTGTTAGTTAGACAAGCTGGCACCATATGCGGTACAAGACTACTAAATGTGTTCCAGATCCTTATTTGACCTGCCTCTCCATTTCTTCAACGCGCTTCTTGTGTCTGGCAATTGCGTCCTGGTGCCTCTTGATCTGCTCTTCATGGAAATTGATCTCATCGGTCAAGCCGCTTTTCAGCTGAGCTAATTGCTCCCTTTGCTAAATTATGAATCAACATGAAAAGAGATTAAATGCCAATTGCTGTTAATAATACAAACCTGCTTGTAGAAGTACTCTTCTTCGCGAGCTGCTTCATTTCTACCAAAAGTTCCACCGGCTTCGCGAATAGATCCACCGCCTCCGCCACCTTTACCGGCGCCGCTACCTAAATCTCCCAACTGTGACATTAAGCGTACTTGACTGAAATTATTTATAAAAAAAAAACACAAATACCAATCAATAGTTATATATAAGTACAAATAGAGGTCAATGCATTAACAGTGCTGATTATCAATCAATATGAAGATGCACTTACTTGCAAGTGATGCGCTTACTAATTTGACGTAAGAAACTCATATTCTAAAATAGCTTATTTTTTGACTTTCAATTGGTTAAATGTCTAAAACAAATTGCTCGTAGTCAATTATATATGGTACTAGGCTGGTTATACAATTTGCCTCCAGACGGCGAGAGCCAGCGGGAGATTTGAATTGCGAGCGCTGATTCTGTCGATAAGGAAGATAACTGATGAGAGGAAACACCCATTTTTCAAATGAAAAAGGACATTTCAGTATTGATTTTTCGCGAAAATTTTGACTATTTCGCATGAGATGGAGCCGTTGCTTTGGCGAGAGAATGCAAGTACGCGTTAGACAAACAAAACAAAAACGCAGGGTTAAATTTCAGGTAATTATAGGTAGTTTCTAGGGAAACCGGAAGCGCACACTCACTCTGGGTGCAACTGCATTGTTTAGGATACGATCAATACAGCTGGGGAAACGTATCCGTCATGTGCAATTTTTGCCCGGGTTGTCACATCGGGAAATGCATATCACATCAATAACCCCCAAGCAATCTCCACAAATTACAATGTTTGGATCACGTATTCAAACATATACCAAAATGCTTTTTAATTGCAAATTTAATTTTCAAATTACATTATACCATTTTAATAGTATTTAATACAAAAATTATTTCAATTAACATTTGAAATTTACTCTTGTTGTTGTTTGATAAATATTGCTTATAACAGATCAACAAATTAATTAAGTTTTTTCTTACTGTATTTTCAACTAACAACTAATTTGCTTTATTAATATCAACATCACCAAATCTTCAAATAATGTACAAATTCAATTTACTTACGTTGCAACTTAATTTCAAATGTCTAGGTATTAAAAGTCGAACAATCAAATTAGAAATCTTTTTCTATTGTGCAAGTTTGTTGCAATAACTGATGATGTAATAGAAATAGTTACAGCTGCAACATAGCAAAAAGCTGTGATTTTGAAGAACCATTCTAAAGCTATTCAACACGTGGCTAATTAAAATGGAATACAAAAGTGAAATCAATATTAAATAAAAGAATGTTGTTAAAATGATATGTTAACAACAAACCTGTAACTGCAAGATTTCTTAGAAATAAGTTAAAAATTTAAGAAGATTGTAAAGTTGGAAAGAGCGACATCTGCAGTAGAGGGTTAAATGTTGCAAATCTTGCTGTGCAAGCTAGATTGCGCATGTCAATTCAATGATTTTGATAGAGACTTTGAGGTTATAAACAATGACAGCAAACATAAAATAGTCTCATACACACATAGGTATATATCAGTATATATGGTTTGTGATATTCGAGGTGACCCGCATTGATGCATTGATACACTTGGAGATGAGCGTTTGCGACGTACCTTTGTGCACCAGTGTATCAATTGGAGTGTCGAACGGCGCAATGAGTGCCTCCAAAGGAGTATCTCGTTCTAGCGTAAGTTTAATAATTGCTCCCACATACCACTGTCAAATCAAGTCATATCAGTACTATACCAAAACCAAACAACCCCATCAGCACTTTCATCCATTTGCATTCTATTGCGCGAATGCCCTATGCTAGTACATACAAATTCTAATGGGAGAAAAAGAAACGAATTATTTGTCACAGCAAACAATTGATAACATTCCCAGTATTTATAGGAAATAATAATAATAATAAAAAAAAAAATGCAAGGATAAAGGTTCTTTGTTCTTGCCTCTGATAAGAACTATTTTAATTGCAGTTTAATGTTGATAAAATAAAAAAGTTGTTTATTTATTATTTTTAGAATGTTAATGAAACCAGGGATAGACTGCGAATCCGTTTGCACCAGAGAAAGCTTCATGCATCCACTGCTCAGAAGAGCATTGAGAAATACCCTTTTAATCCTGACATCACATACAGTGTCCAGAGTGGCCCATTGGCCAAACCAAAAACAGAAAAGGCTGAGAATCTCCAGCCTAAAGTGGTGAAGACAAGCACAAATACTCCCCTCCTCCTAGAAGACAACTTAAAAATTACTAAAATGATGAAAAACCTTGATATCTGTATGCCAAAAGTTAAGACAACCACCAAGAAAGGTGAAACAAAAGAGCAAACGGTTGATACAAAGGTTCAGAAGGATAAAGAGAATAACTCCAATATTCAGCAAGTGGCTACAGCACCTCCAGCTTCAAATCAACAGCATAATATATACAAAACTGATATTGATGAGTTGATTAAGTTCATTGAAGGAAAGGACTACGAGATTGCACAGAAGAAGGCAGCCAAAAAGGCTAGACAGAAGGAAAAGAAGGTAAGAGAATTGGTTGTAGTAAATATCTTTTGAGTAAAATACATTCTATTACATCTAGGATGAGGAGAATCGCAAGCGTAAAGCTGAAGAAGATAGGAAACGCAAGGCGGAGCTTTTACGTCTTTTGGAAGAGAAACGCAAGGAGGAGGAACGTCTTAAAGCAGAACAGGCTGCAAAAGATGCCGCCATCAAAAAGGCCAACAAGAAGAAGCTTCAGCAACAACTAAAACAGCAGCAGCAGCAACAGGCTAAGAAACATGGTAATAATTTCATATATTTTTATTGCATCCCAATTTTCATAATCAATTTAATTTATACATTCTTATATGACAGATAATTTCATGTAAATTATGATCAATAGATTTTCTTTTAAATATAAAAGTAATATAATACATATATTGTAACCATCACCATACTTATATGTAATTAGAGTTAGATTTGCTTCGCATCTACAGATACTAATGTGTGATATTGTAGTGAAATACTATCTTATTCCTATTTCATAAATTCGGAATTATTCACGTACTCATTTAATTATTACTTGAAGCATAACTGAAATGTGCTAAAATAATTTAGTTTCACATCGGTAGATGCGAAGCGAATAAATTGATTATTTTAGGAAATATAAGGGATGTTTGGGTTTTTTACAGCAAGTAATTTTTTTTTATTATTAATGTGCATTTTACTTAGAATCTAAAACCAAGAAAAAGAAGAAGTCTGTGCCGGTGGCCCCTCCAGAACCGGAACTCCTCGAGGAAACCATCCCTGCTATGGTTACAATCAAGAGGATTGTGGAGAACAACAATTGCCCTCCTACAGTGACCATCACCCTGAAGGGATCTACTCCAGATCAGGACAAGCTGCTTTACACTTTGGTGAATGGTCACAACAATCGTAATGCAGAAAAAACAGTAGAGCCTCCAGTTCCGAAGAAGGATGAATCAAAGACGGCTTCGTCGAAGAAGAAGAAGAAGAAAAAGAAGAAGGAAGCCGAGAAGGCTAAGACGATGTTACAAACGAAGTCTACCGAGAAGGAGGAAACCGTGACTATGAGCGAAATGAAGGTGACGCTCTCCGTGGACAGGAGTTTCCGGAAGGAATTAGAGGCCAAGGGAATACACAAAGTCGAGACGACCAAACGCACCATCATCCAGGAGGTGCCGAAACTCAGCTGCGACAAATCCAAGATGAGAGAGACTTTGATCGATATACCGTCTCTGAAGTTACCACCGGGAATCACAATAACCAAAGTCAACGGTCCGCTAGCAGCAAGAAAAACTCCAAATGTGCAATCAACAGCGGAATATAACGGCGTTCCAGTAAGCAAGTCCGGAGTAATCGTTGTCGACACCGAAAAACTAATCCAACAGTCGAGCGGAAAGAAGACCAAGAAGAAGAAGAAGAAGTCCCAGGAGCAGCAGCAGCAGCAAATGCGACAGGATAATTGCAACAACCGATGTAATCGCAGGAACGAGCCCATTGACGAAGCGGACATGGTGACTTTGAAGAATCCTATTTTTCAAAAGCTACAGAATAAAATCGTGAACAAACCGCCGGACGCTGTCCCGCCAATAATCGACATGAACGAGCAGGCAACGATCTCGAAGGGCGCAAACGGTATGGTGACAATTCGCAGGCCTCGGCCGATGACCCTTCAAAATGAATCTCCCATTTCGGATTTTTTAAAACCGGTTATACATTCGAGCGGTATTGAAACAAAATCAACCCTGTCGGATGATCGTAAGATCATCCGTCCGCCAAGCCCTAGGGCTACTCACGCGACCAACCACTATGATTATGAATTGAGTCGACTCAGCGCCCAAAACATTCTCTGGGGCCTACCGGGTATTCAAATCACTAAAGTAAATAAAAATGGTAATTTCACTGAGTTTACCGATCATTCTGAGCAAGCTGCTGACGTTTCTATTATTCGTACCGGAGGGTTTAATTTAGATAAAGATGATTGGCCCTACGGTAAGTTTAACTTAGCTTAAAGAGCCGTCTCGATTTTTAATCATTTATTTTTAGACAGTGTTTTCACACCCAAAGATATTTTAGAAGATGACTTAGATGCCTATGAGCGCGAGCTCGAGGCTTTCAAACGTTTTTGCCAACAGTCTGTACCTCCGAAACGTAAAGAGAAAGTTGCTCATTTACATGTTAATGATATTGTACTCATGAAGAAAGAAATTTCAAGTAACACACTCTTAAATTAATATCTATTAAATGTTGCATTTGATGTTAAAAAATATATATATATCTCTCGATGTTTATATATATATATATACATTATATATACTATAGCTATATATAAATTTCACACTACAGATACGAAACACATTGGGAAATCATATACACACTCCAGATACTTCATGTCATTACTAAATCCGTAGTTTCACTTAGAAAATCGCAACATAACTAAATGTATTGAAAATGGTAATTACTTATGGCTCTTAAATGTCTCCTCAGAACTAACTTCTCTTTAAGTTTCATAGCAAAAGAAAAACTTGTGACTTAACGATATTCATTTGTCTTAAGTTTATAGCTGTTTATTTTGACTTGTATAAATATTTATAAGCCAATAAATGTTCTTTATTTTTTAATTCTATTTAACATTTGAAATAACTGTGATCCTTAAACGTATTATATGTTTATAGTGGGCGGAGCTAACAGCTCTACAAGGGCGTCGTGCACGGTTTACTTAAAATGGGGTTGGCCTCAACGTTGAAATTGTTTTAACATGCAGGACGAAAGTTGCATTACTTTAATGAATTTATGTTTTTTTTGTAAGCATATCGATACAATTTGATATATGTTAGTAAATATTAAACATACGTTTATATACAATGTAAATCTATTCTATATATAAAAAGGAAACAAACAAAAAAAAACAACTAAAGTGAAATATATATATAACACATATTTTTTAAATTTATACTTTATATAGAGTGAAAGCGGTCTGTCTGGAAAATAGTGGGTGGAGCTTAATTAGTTAAACCGCCCATAAATTATTACTCTTAATATTGTTTAACTCTTGATGTATAATACATGTTAGATGTCGACAAACCCTATACTACATTTATGTGTTAGAAATAATATATACGAAAGTGTGTATAATGCAATGAAAACAAAAACATGTAAATGGCTCTATAATTTTTTTCGTTAATAAATAAACTAAAGCATATAATAAAATTGTTACTAAATTTCAAAATATTCCCATTCAATTTATTTACATTCCGTAAACGCAATAGGTTTACTATTGCGGTATTTAAAACCTTCAAATTTCGTTTTCTACGACAGCGAATTATTTTCAAAATAAATTTGCTTTGTATTTTTTTTAAGACTTTTATTATATTTTTCTCACACTTTACAAAAATATTAAATGATGGTAATATAACAATTGTCAGTAAGAAGAACAAATGTTTGATTATTTTGTACATAAAAATTTGGTATACCCTTATACAAATTTGAGGTAAATAATAGAAGTAAATACATGTATGTATATTTTGGCATATAAAATGTTATATTTTAAGAGAGAAATATAAAAAGATACGCGGTTAGCGACCTTATGTACATAGAGGATATTACCAATATATGTGGTATATATAATTATAATCAAGTCTTTCAGTTTGAATATAACGTTTTGTGCGCAGAGTTTTTTTTATCTACTCCAACAGGTTACTAAACTTAAGTCTAAATTTACTTTCAAGTTGTTGAAGTCAGTTATGGCAGGAATTTTCATATTATTTTTGTACAATAATGTACTTACATGTCTAAAAACCAAAAGAGTTAAAAAATAAACAACAACCTGTACATCTAGGAGAAAATATTATATGTATATATATATAAAGATATATTTATAAATATTAAATAAATAATATGATTATTAATATTACTTTTTTTTTGTTTCTTTCCTTATTTCTCATTTAAATCACAGCCTTAAATATAAATATGAACAAAAGAATATTGCAAGTTAAAACCTATGAACACAAGTACGTAATAAAATATAGTCACAAAATAAATGAAATAACAATGTTTTTGTTTGTTAATGGAAAGATGGTGATGATGTTGTAACTTATAAACTAGTATCGCGTTATGTAAAATGATTCAGTTTCTGGACCTTGTATCAAAACAGTCTTGTATGCTTGCCAGGGCTCCATCTTGGTCAAATCGATTTTGTCCAGCATTAAAATCTTGTCGCCGGGGAAGAGTTTTTGGAAAGCATTTCCGTTCTCGTCGACCTTACTCACAAAGACGCCCTGAAAAGAGAAGAAAAAAAAAACATCGGTTTAATTGGTTTGTAAGCAGATGCGAACAGTTTGGAACATTTACGTTTTCATTGTACGTGACTGTGAAGCCCAGAACGTAGCAGCAAGGCGTCAAAACCACCAACATTTTTTTTGCCACCCGCTGCTCGTTTACATTATGCAAATACTTCTTGTCGGCATACATTTTCTCATAGTTCTCATTCGGCCCATACGAATCATCGTCGATGTACCGTTTGTTCAGATCACGCAAGAAGAAGTTGTCTACATCGGATTTACCTTTCGTGTACATAGAGACCGGCTGCGCTATGGAAATGTTCTGCGAAACCTTTTGCAAATCCTGCGTGAATTTCTTCGGTTTCTCGATCGGGCTATCTTCCATCCGCTTCTCCGCATATTCCGGATGTATGTCCTCTATCTTGTTGAAGTACTTCGCGTTCTTTGAGTAGGCAGCGGCTATGTGATATGGCGGCGGCTGCTTTGCTGTTACCATCAAACATTTCTCCTGCAGCTCTAAACTGAGCTTCGACTGTTCTGATCCTTCCAAACTGTTCTTGTCATTGAATGAGTAGTAATCCATATTAGGATCGATCACAGCATTTTTGTTCACATTGTAGAAGTCGTTCTCATAATTCGGTACAGCATCCGGTAAGAAGTCCGTCTGAGTGCCGTAATTCTTTAAATCGTTAAATTCCCCGTTGATCTCGTTCTTCATCACTTTGGCTTCCTTGATCAACGACTGCCCGGGGTCCATCCGCAAATTCAGAGACGGCTGGGCGTTTCCCTCGCGATTCTTACGCAACTGATTATTCAGAGATCGCTGGAACCTCTGGAAGTCTTTAGGGTAAGGCGTAGGAGCCCTGTTCAACTTCGGCAACATCTCGCGAGGTAAACCTGGCTCCGAAAAGGCTATATGCCTCTTAGGTAACGACACTGCTTCGTTTGGTGATACTTTATGCATGTCCTGGTTTGTAATGTGTATTTGAGGCAACAGGAAACACGTTAATACTAATTGACCATGATCTAATTGCTCCGTTTGTAATGGAATCTATAAACAAATGTTAATCAGTAATCAATAACTAAAACGGAATATTTCATGCTAGATTTAACAACTATCATATGAGTTTTAACCATTTTTTAAATCTATATGATAATTAAAGATAACACTTTTTTGGTTGGTCTGCTTACTAATGGATGGCTTTGGTTCTGTGTCAACCACAGTGCTCGTAGAAGCGGAAGATTTGCTATAGGAATCGGTAGAAATTCCAATTTGTTGCCAATTAATCCAAGCGAAGTTAAGCTTTGTAGATGTCCAATTTCGTCGGGTAATCGCTTCAGCATATTGTTGTGCAAATTTAGAATAGTCAGTGAGACGCAACTTCCTATTTCTGAAACACAGGTAGTATTAGCAAAGAATTTCCCAAGAACACAATTTCTCTTACCAGATGGTAAAAATGTAAGGAAATTATGTGATGCTATGAAATAATTCAATTTCCTTAAAAACCCAAAAGAATTTGGTATAATGGAAATCTGATTATTTTGAACATCAAGTTCCTCCAAACTTTCCAAATCCCCAATACAATAAGGTAAAGACTCAAGGCAGTTAAAATCTAATTTCAGTGTTTGCAGTACCTTCATTCCTTCCAACACAGGAGGGAAATCTTTTATAAGGTTGTGGCTTAGTATTAGACTCGTGAGTTTTGTACAGCGTCCAATCTCGCTTGGCACAGTCTCAATATCGTTTTTGGAAGCATCAAAGTCTTGCAGTTCCAGTAGGTTGCCAATACCAAGGATTATGGATGTAATGCAATTCCCATTTAACCAAAGCTCCTTCAGGTTTACCATACTAGCAATAACCTCTGGCTTAAAACAAATGAATAAAAAAACTATAGATTTCTATAACTTTAATTTTAATTTATAATAATTACCATATCTGTGAAATCATTATTGCTTAGATCTAAACGCACCAACGCGTTAAGTCGTCTTAAAGACTTTGGCAGGGCAGATAGATTGTTATCCCTCAGTTCAAGTATCTTCAAATTATTCAATCTACCAAAATTGGCTGGTAAAAATTCAATATAAGTATCATTTAGATATAGTTCTTGAAGATTCACCAAACTGGTTAAACCTTCTGGTAGCTTATCTAATGTGTTTGAGCTCATATCAAGAACAGTCAGTTTTTGGCACCGATGTATGTTCACTGGAATATTAGAATGCTTCAAGCAATTGCGGCTGATGTTCAGTGTTTGCAAATTAACCAATTTAGAGACTAAGGTTGGCACTAATTGAATTTCATTATCACTTATATCTAAGTACCTCAGCTCTTCACATTGAAATAATGTTCTTGGCAATTCAACAATCTGTAAATATTTATCCAATTATATTGAAAATTCAAAGCTAGCATTAATTGTTCAAGTACCTTATTTCCATCGAGGTATAGGTTCTCCAGGGTTCGTTCAAAGTTGAAAACCTCTGGAGGCACCTCTGATATTGAAGTCCGGCTGAAATCCAGAGTCTTGACATTTTCAATGGTTTTCTGCTTGCATGCAAAGCAGCTCAACCAATTCATCTTAATATTGGACGCAGGTCAAAACACAAACATAACCATCAATTAACAACATCCTTTAAGCACCAACACTTTTCATATGGTAACAATAGTTACCATAGGTTGGAGTCTGACGATACAGCCTCCGCAGATCTAGATGCTATTTAGAGAAACCGCATCCACTAAGCACAAACGTCGAAACCTATTCAAAACATATTCACAGTACGAGTAGGATGTTTCTGTATTTCACTCCCTCTGGCATGCATAAACAACAGAAGAGCTTTCATGAATCAATCGCCAATCTCTGTCGAGTGCATTTTGGGAGTGGAAAAACCCATGCAACCCATGTTACATACTTACATCTCAGGTTACATCAACATTATTCTAACATCATATAATTTAATGTAAATTAACTAAGTTATAGAAGCAATGTAGTAGTCATAATTGTAAGAAAATGCTGTGATTAGAAGTAAATAACGTTTGCTTTGATAAATGATTTTAGAGTTTTCAAAAATTTAAAATTTAACAGTTTTTAATTTTGTTGTTTTTGTTTGTATTTGCTCCATCTGTTGGATCCAAATTTATATAAATACGCGTTATTCAAAAGTTTTTAAAAACCAATCTAAAAGTCAATTAAATTATATTCAATTTCAAAAAGTTTATTTAATTAGTTAAATGTTTATTGATTTGAATTGAATAACAGTTTAAAAATGATGTTTGCTCTATAATTTAATTCATGTCAATGTAAACATAGTTTTTTTAAAAAAATGATTTACAAACAATCTACTAGAGTTGTACTATATTTGTATATATATGCGATTATATACAAGTATATATTTTTGGCTCGTTGAACGAAGTGGGAGAATGTAAGATAACGCTATATGTTTTGCTTCACTTGTACGCGTTTCAGTCTGTCCTAGGTTGTGGAGACAATCAGTAGTCCTCGATTATCTAATTAATCCTTTTAAAGAAAATTTCTATCCTTTATATGATGGGTCTCTTTAATGCCAAATGTGCATCGACGGCTAGATTAGACGGGAAAACCGCCGTTATAACTGGATGTAACACAGGAATTGGTAAAATAACAGCAAGGGACCTATACCAAAGAGGTGAGAACATCGCAATAATATTTTTTGCCTATACGGAATAAAAATACAAATCGTAGCTGACCCCATTAACTACCGTTATTGATTCTTAGAGCTTAAATTATTCAGAACCGTAGGTAGTAATGTTCTATTATTTCATGTTTCTAATGACAACAGCGCTTCATGATTGATTTATTTCATTTTCAAAGTAAATTATATCGCATCAGCGTGTAATATTGATATTTAAAATATCTCGCAAACATATGAATAGATGCATTCAAATACACAATAGATGCATAAAAGATTATTATTTATTAAAATTGATTCTTATTCAATGTCAGCTGTAGGTAAAACCTCATCCTTGAAAAGCATTAGTGCATTTCAGTTGAGACCAAACAAACAAACAAACAAATATGTATTCATTTCAAGGACATTCGCTCGCAAAAACATAATCAGATTTCCAACAAACAAATGTATTCAAGTTACCAATCTCAAACATTGTTATGCAGGTGCGAAAGTGATCATGGCTTGCAGAAACTTGGAGAAGGCTAAGGAGGCAATGGAGGAGATCAAACAGGAATGCAAAGGACAAGAAAACTTGGGCAACTTAAGTGTGATCCCATTGGACCTGAGCAGTTTGAAGTCGGTTAGGGATATTGCGTTGCAATTGAACGAAGAGGAGAAAAAGATTGATTTGCTTATCAACAATGCGGGAGTTATGATGTGTCCTTTGGAGCGTACAGCGGACGGCTTCGAAATGCAAATTGGGACTAACCATTTTGGCCATTTCCTATTGACCATGCTGTTGCTACCGAAAATAATAAAATCGGCGCCAGCTAGGATAGTCAATGTTTCCTCTTTAGCACACATGAGTAACATTCACATCGTATTTGAAATGCGAATAATTTAATTATATAAAACATATTGCAGATGGCAAACTGGACCTTGATGATATAAATTGGGAAAAGCGCAGTTACAGCGCGATAGGCGCCTATGGACAAAGCAAATTGTGTAACATACTCTTCACCAGACAGCTAGCTCTGAAATTAAAAGGTTCTATTTCGAAGATAAAGCAACTAGTAGTAACTGTATTGTTTTAGAATCCGGGATTACTGGTGTTACTGTTTACAGTTTGCATCCAGGCGTAATCAACACGGAATTGACTAGACATTTGGATTCTACTTATTTCCAAGGGTTGACTCGCATGTTCAAAGCTGTTGGAGGATGGTTCATGAAGACCCCTGAACAAGGTGCACAGACAACCATACATTGTGCAGTTAGCGAGGAGGCAGGAAAAGAAACTGGTTTGTATTACGCTGAATGTAAACCCACTTCTAGTACTTCAGCTGCAGAAAATATGGAAGATGCGAAAAAGCTGTGGATTGAAAGTTTAAAGATTGTCAATCTTCCTGAAAACTTTGATCCTTTTACTATATAATCAATGTAATTATTATCTGTTTAAAAACAGTCTCAAGTAGATTGTTTTTATTTACAAAACCACTGACAAAACCAATTATTTTTATCTATGCATTGCTTTAAGGTATTATGTCTGCTGTATGATAATAAATTTAGCTATTGAATTACTTCTTATTTTTTTTCAATTTATATTTTTAATGCTTTCTGTTACCATTACAAAATCCATCCTTGGATTTTTGCTCAATGAATTTGAACATTTAATCTAGGAAGCATTGATCCACGATAGAATATTTGTATCATGATCTTGACAATAGTTTAAAGATTGTCAATCTTTTTGAAAACTTTGACCTTTTTATTTGCGCAGTGGCGATATTGTAACCAATGAGGTCTATCCGAGGTGCGATTATTGCCAGTTGACATTTTTAATTGTTATCTATATTACATGAGATTGTTTTTATTTATAAAGCCAGTGATAAAAACAATTATCAAAGTATAATGTTTGTTGTATGATAATAGATTAAACTTTTTAATTATTTCTTATATTTTTAATTCTTTCTGCTACAATTACAAAATCCATCCTTTGATTTTTGCCCAGTTAATTTAAATATAATGGAACCTCGCTTAACGAACACCCTACATAACGAGCATTTCTAAGAGCTGCAGAAATTGAAAAAAATGAATAGGATTTTCTTCACAATCGCTTTTTCGTTGAGATGCGACGTTTTCACGTTTTTTCTTAATTACACGAAAATTACGTAACTTTTGTTGCGTTTCATGATTGCGTTTCATGATTTTTGAAACAAAATTTCGTAACGTTCGTTACGTAACAGGGAAGAGACGATTTTTGCAATTTTTTTCTGTATTTCGTGAGTTTCTCGACAATCCCTTAAGATAATTACATAATCTGTTCTGTTCTGTTCTGATACCTCCATTCAATAATAAAGCACCATACTAGGCATAAAACAGTAAATAAATACACGGTACAAACAAACGAACAGAGCATATAAACAAGCAAATTAAAAATATAATAATAAAAAGGTGAATGGACTATTAAAGATGTTTATAGACAATTACACGAAGTCAACCTGATAATTTACAAGAAATATATGACAAAAAAAATAAAATTAAAAAATAAAATAATAATAATTATTACATGATCGACCAGACAATTTAAAGCATTTTCGCGCTATCGTCGGGTCGCCTGCTACGAAATTGAGAAAAAAAATATGATTTCTTCAAAATCGCTCTTTCGTTGAGATTCGACGAGTTTCACGTTTTTTTCTTAAAAACACGAAAATTACGTAACTTTTGTTGCATTTCATGATTGCGTAAGATGGACAACTTTTTATAAAACAAAATTTACGTACTGTTTCTTTTCAGTATTTCGTGAATTTCTCGATAACCCCTTAAAATAATTACATTATCGACAAAGGATAAAAATAACCATAGATATGAAAAGCAAAATCATTAAAAAACGAGACCAAGTTATATTTTTTTCATCTGGCATGGAACGTATTATCCTATTTTAAATTAGTATAGGAAAAGTTGTTTCACTATACGAGAATTTGACTATACAAGTAAAAATACGAAAATTTTTGAAAGGATTATGTTCGTTAAGCGAGGTTTCACTGTATTTGAATCATAGATGCATTGATCCATGATACAATAATATTGGTATCATGACCTTAACCAATGAATGAATTTTAACGGAAATTCAAATATAAAATAATTAGATATATTGCCATTAAGCATTAATTGCGGTAAAAAGTGCGAAAAACATCATACAAATTTACATATTTGTATGATTCCTATTAGAACCCAAAAGCATACAAGAAAATTGGTGACCTAACGCCATCTATATTAACAATTATTATATAAGAATTGACAGATTTGTGCAATTCAATTGACCATTGTATCTGCTGTATATTCAACAAAGTCTGTTTATTTACCAATATTTCTTTCTTATAAATTATGTATCTATAAAACTAAAAGGATTTGAATTTTAGAAAAATGGGGGTTGTAAGAGAGAGGAGAGTTGTTTGTCAGGCACCAAGTATCCCTTCAAATCCGGAATCTGTACAGTAACTATAGTTTTCTTAGTTTATTTATACCATATTTAATCAAATTTAAAGTTCTGGTTATACCACCCAAGATTCGGAAGATGAGGGACTGCAAAGTGAACAGATCAGACATAGACAACCTCTAAGGACCTCCAGAGGTCTTAATATAAATTTCAATGTAAGTCTGCGTAGGCATGCTGGACAACGAAGAGTCAGAAGAGCTTTAAATAGTGTGTAAACCTAACAAAATGCAAAACATGTATTATATTTGCTTGTATTCCAGTTAAGTTTTTAGAGACATTGAAGGAAGAGGATGAATCGGATAACATATTGAATGGCAATAAATCGAAGTTTCAATTGCTCATGGAAATCACAAATGATCCTATTGAATTTTTGAATGATTATGAAGAGAATAGTTGCGTTATTTCTACAAGCAACTGGGTTAATAATAACCCTTACATGAATATTCCTAAAAAAATAAGGGTAGCTATTGCTAGCAAAAAGGATTTCAGATATGACCTGTTGAAATCCATTGAGTTAGTACTCACAACATTTATTTACACACATCCACCTTTACTCAAATATTACCATTTTCCTAAGAACTGCTATGAACGATTTTTAGTACACGCAATTGCCAAATATAATGGACTTCAGTCAGAAAGTATGTTATTCTTATTTTAAATGTTGGTTAAAATTATTTATTAATAATTGTTAATTTAGCAATTACAGTGGACTCAGGTATGGCTGTTAAAGTTTATAGGAGAGAGGAAGAATTACTGCCACAAAAGCAACTTTTATGTGACTACCTTCATCAAATGAAAAGTATTAACCAATAATGTGTAATATTTTTAAACTTGTTTAATATAGATACTTTTACTTGTAAATTTTCTTTGTATTCTTAAGAAGTGATTTCAATAGTTTAGTGTTTTTAATATATAACACTTTAATGTACAGTAATGTAAATTTTAAAATTTAATAAACTTAATCAGAAATTAAAGAGTAAAATACTTACAATTGTTTCAATATTTCCTGAAAATTAAATCACCAGACAATATGCCGCTTCCTGAATACTACGTATTGTACCACAATATATTGATTACTTATTATGCTTTTATTAGCAAAATATTTTAATAATTACGTGTATAAAAAAATACAAATTTTATACTTTATCTATTTTAGCAATATTTTTGTAGTCGCAACCAAAAATTTAGATGATGTACAGTAGCGCTCCAGTTGAAAACTCACGGATTTTGTTGTTTTCCATATGGAGCGCTCAAAATGAATAAAATTAATTTGATTTTCTAGAAAACTAATCAATCAATGCTAAAATCTTCGGTATTCGGTGTAGAGTATTTTCAATTCTTAATAGGTTAAGTGCCAAGTAACAATAGTCAATTACATAAAAATAATTCCACATTGCATTAAAATAGGTTTACATTTTTTTTATGTCAAGGATACAAGGATTTACTTTCCTCAAGTTGTGTTATCGGTATTCTTTTGTTTATTATTTATGATTGTATATTTTGTAGATGTAAATAATATGCCAATAAAGATTCAATCAATAATTATAATGATTCTGCGGAAGTGACTGAATGTTGGTCAGAAACCCAAGTTGTATTTTTATAATTAATTATTAATAATTGATTTAATGAAAGACACAAAAACAATTTGAAAATAAAAATAAAAATTAATTAAAGAAATTAGCTGTTTCAAAGAAAATACATAAAGCTACTCGAATGTCGTGTTGAACATGTTCAGGTCTTCAAAGGATGCGGTGCCGCTCTGGTCCAACATCTGGAGCATATCGGAGAGCTCGTGCGGTTGAGACTGTGGGGGTGGGCCCGAACCACTGGATCCTGGACCACCTGAGTCGGATCCTTGACTGGATCCCTGCCAGGTCCATTGATAAGCACTAGGTGCGGTGGTTGCCCGCGCTCCGCCGCTGAGCTGAGTATAAGTAGGTCCCGGTGACCTGGGGCTAGACTGATTGTACTGATAGCCCTCCGGTGCGGATTGAGGTTGGCGAAGACTCCAAGCGGCCGCAGCAGGAGTAGGACTGGTAGTAGTACCTTTAGCTAAACGTCCTAAAACACCAGCACTGCTACTACTAGCACTAGTTTGTGACGGTGATCCGTAAGCAATCGGGGAAGCCGTCGTTTCATAATTACTATACACATTCTGACCACTGCTCGGTCTCGGAACTTGCTGAGGCGCTAAAAGCAATCAAGTGTAAAACATTGATTTCGATAGTTTAGTAGTAGTACTTACTCTGTATGTGCGTTGATGGAATCATATGAGAGTAAATTCCCGTGTCTCGCCTCTGCAAACTATAATCTAAACCTGGTTGCTGGTATGGGACTTGCTCTGCAGGCTCTGCTGGCGCTTCAGTGCCGGAATGCAACGATTTCGCCGTCGAATTTGTACATACGATGTATTCAACATCATCAGTGTAAGGATTCAGGAAAGCGTACGCGGAGGTACGCAGCCATACGTATTCCCTATTTTTGGCTCGGAATCTGTACATGACTGATAGCACTTGACCCTTCAATTTCAACACTGAAACGATAAGAACAATACGTTAGTAAGGTAACAACTACAAAATTGTGCGTTAATTAATAAACGGAACCTTGTTCAAAGCTATCTTTCATGTGGCTCTGATCTTCGGGATGGAAGAACTCGAAGCAACTTTTTCCTAATAATTCTGGCGGAGAATATCCTAACAGCCCTATAACACGTTGGTCCACAAAACTGAATTTACCATCCATCGAATGGCGAGATATGAATTCCGCGGTGCTATTTGAACCTGAAAGTTCATTGGTGTTGGGTGTCGAAGTGACCTGCAGACGACCGATGGCCACCAAGCAACAGTGTGAAGAATGCAGATCGTCCTCTGACTGCCTGTCCAGCTGGACGCCTGTGAACATATCTGATATTTTCTCCTCTTAAAATCGGTCCTGGGCAATTGTCGTATAATTAAAATTGAACCTTATTTTCATAGAAAATTATAAGACAAAACCATAGCGGAAGGCTAACTCTTACCAGTCGGAGGCCAGTTCTTAATATAACCGGTGCAATGAACGACGGCATAATTCTGACCATCCCTACCAGGTCCTAAACTATTTCGTTGTTTTAATCGATTCAAATGACCTACAGCCATGTTCTCGGCGGCGATGTTCCCCACCTTCATGCGGCATATAAATCCTCTCCTCGAACCCATGCACATTCGCATTGAAGCTAAAAGAAATCACATCATAAGCAATACGAAAATCTTTGAATGATAAACCAACTTACACTGGTGTCCTTCCTTCTTCACAGTACCAGTTTTGAGATCAAGTATCCTGCCGGTATTTTGAGGTTCCTGTGTTGATAACTGCTCTCGAACTTTCTCTTGATCTTCTGGATGGATGTTATCGTAGATACACGAGCCGTACCAATCGCTCTGCGAATAATTCAATACAGGCGCTACAGAATCCGAGACGTAGATCACACGGCCGGTATCACAGCTGACTACAAACAGGAATCCATCGGCCGCCTCCAAGATCAGATGCTTGAGTTCCTGATCCGTCAAAAAGGATGGTTTGTATGATCCATCCGTGCTCGTATTACCAGTACCTAACAAGTACAAAAGTTTTGTTAACTCCTAAGTATAAAACATTAATCATATTGCAAAAGTCACGTTTTCCATTTGATAAGCGACCGAGAGCCGCAAATATTAAGTAAATACATATAAAAAAAAGGAAAAACAATCGGGAATATATAATCCAAGGAATGTTTTTGAATTTGAGAGAACGTGTACGGAGACGCAGAATAAATGCTCGAAAGGCAAGGAATAAAATAAGAACCGTAGGATAAATATGTGTGTATGCGGTATAAAATAAAAATAGCTAAAAAGAAAGTGAATCGTTGGTATTTGAATGTGTTCGATTCCGTGAAGCAGCGGCAGCGGTTTAATATGATATTCCGTTCGGCCATTTTGAATATTTGTAATGAACAAATGATGCATACAAATAAGTAAACAATAGTTTGTACGTCCGCTCGGACTATGCCATTGTCGATATTGAATATTAAGTGGCCAATAATTTATTCAAACATTCGAAATCATTTGCAAAATACAGCGCGACGCTCAATTCGCAGAACGGACGGGTGAAAATTGGAGAGAAAACGGCCTCAGGTCTCTTCATCTCCGCAACGAACTCTTCAACTTTTCTTCCTTCGAACCATAAAAAAAAAATGCAAAACAAAAACATATTTCGCTTCTCTTGCTAACGATCCAATTATCCAATTTTCCCTTCAATCACAGCATGTCAAAAGAAATTGCAATCTTAAAAAAAAATATTTCGAACAATTCTGCATTTATCTTTTATAAGCTGAGCTGCGTACATGTGTATGTATGTTTTTTTTTCCGCTCCGGTGTTATTTAAACCACTTGTAATTTGCACAAGACGTTTGGCACGTAGAGATAAGAATTGTTATCATTCGATGTATACTTTGTATCGATACAATACTCCATTAATGTATACGGAATATATGTTTTTGGATAAGTGTTGCAATGGAAATTCAGATACATTTTCTTATATAAACAGGCGAGCAAAAATATACTTCTTGGTCCGGCTGCAACTTAACAACCTAAAGCTATATGTAATTACATTCAAGTATAAACAATCCTGGAACACTTTTAAACGCGGCTAGGGAGACGGCTGGGAAAAGTTTTATATTATAAATGGTTGACGTGTGACGGAGAGAAAAAGAGGGACGGAGTGAAGTCGGACTTCGCTCTTTGGTGGCTTCAATTTGTTCAACATTCGACCGTCTATCCTTCTTTATACTTAGCGTTCACTGTTGTATTATATATATTTTTTTTTGGTATGGGAGGTAAATTGAATCTTCATGTCGAAGAATGGTTAAGTTACAATTTGGGGGCCGGACGGGACTCGCATACAAATCGACATTAATGCCAGGAACATTTTCTTTTCCACAGAGGCTATTGTACTTTTAATATTTGAAACTGATTTTCATGCAAGCGACACGTTTGTCCATCCGGCACCAGCTTTTATTATATATATATATAAATTTATATATAAAACAGATATATACAGGGTGTGTGCTAGAGAGAACCAAAGCATTTGAAAACTCGGATTTGATAACAGTATATTTGTTTGCCGCACTTTGGAAAGGCGGAGAACAAGTAGCGTATTATTCGGTCACGACATTGCCGCTAAATTTTTTTTTCATACTCAAAACATCGTTTTTTTTTATATATATTTTCCTACTACGTTGTCCTTATTTTTGCTTTTTTATTTTTTTTCTATTTCAGTTTATATGTGCTTTGTTTTATTTCTTTAGTTTTATTTTTCGCTGTTCTTGTGTGCCTTCTCTCCATTGCTCCCCGCCGTCCAGTCCCTTTTCCATTTTGTAATATATTAATATTTCAACATATAAGCCAGCACATTGTCATGGAAAGGCCATAACTCAAAATGGTCGTTTTAGTGGTTATTGTTTTGTTGCATAAATACGCTATGTACACAATAATGGTGGTCTCTCCACTAGTAGCTCGCTTGGTACCTGGAAACTACGAAGATATTATCTCGTTAGTTATGGGCCATGGGATAGCAACTCGACGAAACGTACGATTAATGTTGTTATTATTTAAATAAAATCAACAACTATTTCTTTCCGCGCGCACATTCCCAACATCTCGCACACGGCCGTGTAGTAAATTTTGTCTGTATGTGCAACTCTTCAAAATTTTCATTCTATAAAACAGCGGATTCCAAACATCTAGTTTACATATGCATTTTTTTTTAAATTCAGTTAATATATTAAAGATTCCGAGAAAATCACTGAAATGTTATTTTTCAACTTTGAATGCGAAACTTTTCATTATTTATTTGAATATTCCGAATTCAATCTATTATTAGTAGTAATGATAGAAAAAGGCATGGGTTTAGAAATGTAGTTTAGTAAAAACTTATCATTACCGATAGTTTGGTTCTTTCAAATATGCCCGAAGGAAGTAAGTCAAGGTGAAATTATTATGGCTGAAGAAAGAGACAAAATAATTTTAAGTGAATTATAATAACGAATTAAATATTTGTATTTTCATTTTGGCTTTTTGAGAAAAGTATGGAAGATGTGAGGATAAGATTGTAATATGGTGTCATATGTTAAAGTCTCGCTCCAGGTGTTCTCTCCCAGTTGGTTTAGGTCAGGTTGTTATTTCAGATGCGCCTCAACTATGGTAGAGATTAATATGGCACGCTGGGTTCACGCTGTTTAAATCATAACTGTTGTGTAAATTACGATTGTGGAACAAAATGCTCGCGGCTGATGGGAAAGAGGTCCGAGTCTGAAATAGAGAAAAAGGAAAAGTGCGATGGTACTTACCTCGAAGGGCCTTCATGTGGGCTACGGCCATCCTCAGGATCGTTAGTTTGTCCGGTTTTCGGGCCAGAGCACTGCAAGTCGGTACCATGTCGGACAGCTCAGTGATGTACGCTGTCATCTTGTTCCTCCTCCGCCGTTCAATCTCGCAATGATTCTCCCTACTGTAAGTCGGAAGCAAAGCCATTGGTAATTACAAAAAATATGACAAGTTGGTGTACACAACTATCAACGACAACTGATGGATGATCTGCGAAAGTGGCGTGTCAACTTTTGAACAGATTCCAGGCGTATTTAGAAATTGGCGGAAATTTTATTAACTTTCAGCTAGATTGGAATGGTCTGAAGTTTATGTGCTCTGCGGAATAGGGCAGGTGCAGGACTTGTCCCGATGTAGCGAGATTGCCGGTGTCTCAAGTGAACGTTTTACGAGTCCGTCGCCAACTAAATTATACAGACAGTATATAAAACAAACTTGAACTCAATCGATACTCTCTCGATCCGCACATACGTACTTACTACACACACAAAGGGCCAAATCCCTTGAGTAAGTTTTTTTTTTCTTTTTCGACATTTCCTTCTTGTTTTCGGGGGGACGGCAGTTTATAATTGCATTCCGTATCGAGGGGAATTAGTTCAAATCGTGGAAGGATAATAAGAACTAGTAGATATCAGGTTCGGAGCCGGCCCGACCAATTGCTGGGCTATTATGTGCCTCTGTAATCTCTATTACGGCCATTAGTTGGTCGACCGGCCGTTCGGTCCCACGTCCAGTAACCGAGATAATCATTATTATTTAGCATGCCGTCAATTATTGATTATTTACCACAATCATGTTACGGACCGGACCCGATTCGACCGACGTCGAAAACCCTCTGATCATCCTTCATCTCTGAGCATTCCGCAATTCGATCATCCCTCGATTAACATTTCAATACCGCATTTACTTAAATATACAATGCCATCCCTTGTTGTCCGCTGATCGCCCCGTCCGCTAATCCCACCTCTTTATCCCACTCAAGCAAGCGCATCACCTAATCCCTCATTATACCTCCCCTAAAGGATTCAAAAGCTATAAGTACACAACGACACGCTGACAGCACCATTGTATATCTATGGGAAAATTATATTAGCACCATAGCAAAATCAACACACAATTACTTACAAACTATTATGTAAGAACAACATGAACTCAGCCAACATAAATTGAATAAACTTTCCTGATGAATATCATTATTATAAAGTATGAAAATTTAAGAATCTCTAAGCTGAGTTACTTAATAAACTAAAAATAGAATTGATCTATTATCCTTAAAAATTGTTTTTTTTAGAAAATACAAGACTAAATACAAAAAAGAGTAAACTTGTCCATAGTTGTCCATAGTTGTTTGTTTTTCTATAGAAGATTTTCAATTATTTCTGAAATGAGTCATAAGCCATCAACGAAGATGACACCTCGTCAGAGACGTATAGTTGACGGATGCCACCCGAGGTGGTTTGCGAAAAGCTAATTGGTTTCCAGCAATTGTCGGTCCAAAAGTGAAAGCGCCTCGTCAATAATTCGTACTTGGGATCTCTGACGTGCGTGCGAGAAACTCAGAGCACGAAGGGTTGAAACATCCTTTCGGGTTTTATAACAGTTCGCCGCCTATCTTCGCGTTACGAAATACCTTCTCTCGCCAATCGCCACTTACTGCTGCGGCGCGAGAGTTATGCAAGCCATTTGTTGTACGTATATGTGTATAGATAGGTATGTGTGTGTATAAGTGTTGTTGCGTTGCGTAATCGGGCGAAAACCGACGGGGAGCGTGCGATGGTCTATCCTTCGAAATGTTATAAATAATTATATTAAAACATATACGGTAAACCTTGAATCTGATTCCAGCGCATTTTACTTTAATTCGTACCGCCACATTTCGAAAAATATTCAAAGAAAAATACTAAATAATTTTGTTCCTTTAAAAACACGCATTAGGAATATATTTTGCTATAAACCAAATTCGAATGATGTGATAATTTTATGCCAAACCATATAGAAAAACCTAAAGTCCGTTTTTCATTTCATTTGCAAAGTTACTCAATTTGTGCAAGATTGATTTTTCGAGGCGATGGAAAATTGTGGTTCGATTTCCCACGATTGAATTGAATGGTTTTTTCTTGACGCTGGCCGGTTTTCGGTGAGGAGTAATGATGGGTTGCAGGCGAACGAAGGAGACGAGAAGTAGTAAAAAAAAAATATGAAGATAAAATAAAGATGATGAGTAATTGGTGATTGTGTTGATCCACGTGTTGTCGGTGTGACCTTCGGAAAGAAAATGTAATTACGATTCTAGGAGATGTAGAAAGAGCGAAATGATGATGATGATGATGACGGTGATGGCGAAGAATAAGAAAAAGTTGCACTGGATGTTTTGGGATTTACGGATGGAGAGGTCATAGCCTGGGGGTACGCCAGGGTCAGTAGATCAGAATCCATTGAAATTATTGAAAGTACATTGTCGAGAGTGGTGGAAAGGAGTAGAGTGGAAGAGAGCCAAGCGGGAGCGAGGGAGACGGAAAGTTGTGCCCCGCTGGAGGCGTGCCGCCTGAAGATGGTAAAATATGGGTTCGGTATGTTCAAATACGTATGTAACCTTTCTTAGCATATTGCGGAGCGCGCGGATTGCGACACTAGGAAATGAGAGGATGATCGGCGCGCGAGGTGGATGAGGTGGATGGAGGTGCATGAGCTGCGGCATGGCATAGCATAGCATGGTAAGATGAGGTGAAGAGAGGTGAGGCAAGGCGAACTGAGCTGAGTTGAGCTGAGAAGGGAGAGCACCTCAGCAGCGTGGGAACTGCAGGCCGCCGGTCGCCTCCCCCGCGGCTAGTCACGACTGCTCGAGAACACGATGCGATGCTCCCTTTTAATATATACGTCCCATCGACGACCTCCGCCATCGCGTCTTTGCTCCCAGTCTCCACGGTAAATCAGAGACCAGGTCTCCTCTCCTCATCGCGTGCCTCGTTATCCTCTCAAATTGACTTAGGAAACCGGAAACTAAAGAACCATCAAATTTTGAGCCAACTTCACCGCAGCTGTCTAATCTTTAAACCCACCTAGATTTGACAACTCAAAAAACAACCTCAATTAAATGACAGTATTCATTCAAATTACGTTCTTAATCAATCATTTACACTACTCTCACAAAATTACCTCTATTTCATCTCTATGCAACTGAGGTTTAGTTAGAGATAGGTTTACTAGTTCTTAATTTTGAAAAGTTTTCATTCGAGTATAATTGGCATTTCGTTTCTAATATTTATTAAGTGATAACAATGTATGTTTCTTTTTCTTTCAATTTCTATGTCCACTGTCTTAAGGAAAGAAGACAACATCATTATTCTTTCTCTCTGTGGACGACCGTAAAAGCGGCTCCAATTTTCAAGCGATAAACTCATTTTTATTGCGCGCTGCTTTCGAATTAGTTTAATCCGAAGACGGGGGCTTTGGAACTCCGAAAACTAGGTAAACCTCGAATCCCGTCGGCGCCAGTAATTGCATTATCTTGGTACATGCATCCATACTTCTGCGCTCGTCAAATTTAACAGCACTTTATGACCGCGACACACATGATTTCCAAACATTCGCAACATTGTTCTTCATTTCTTCACTGCTTTCCCGGAGCGGAAACGGAAGACCGCTCATTTGGATTAATTAAGACGCGCACGGGATGTAAACAATACTGTTATGACTTTTCGTACCATTACCCATGTAGTTTAATTAAACAAATCTTGTAGTGTTTTCCCCCTTCAACTTCCACCCTACTCCAACTACATTACGTCCGATATACGCAACAAACCATTAAATACAGTAATTTCCAATCAACAATTGTGGACAGATTTTATTTAATCATCTACAATATGCGTGACATGGGACATAAGTCATGGTTAGGTCTATCAATTATTGTTAGATATTTCTGAAACTGAACTAGTAGCTGCAATTACACACTGCAATGCTTACACAATAGAATTGCATATTATTATGGATGTCCACGCGTATGAAATGTAGTTGAATTGAGGAGGCTAGGCTCTTCCATTTCAGGCCAAATAAACACACTCTGAAATGGACAGAGTCATATTGTTCATATTTTGAAATACTATACATAAACCCTAAAAGAACGTTAAAATTGAGAAGGTCTGATCCATTTTGGTCAGTAAATATGAGGCCGATACAAAAGAAACATTGTCGACCTGCAATGAAAGAGTGAGGTATATCATAAATCTACAATTACAACTCATGTGAGTTTTACGAGCTTCCGGTGTAAAAGCTGCGAAAACAGTCGTTCATACAATAAATCGTAAAAATTTCATGGCAATTCTCCAGTCGAGTTAAGCACTGCGCAGGAGAGTACGAGCGAGAGAAAATACCACACGTTGATCACAGCTTACTGTAAGAAGAACAAGAAGAAAGTGGTTACAGTCGTTGTTTGTTTGCACTGTTACAAAGCACCTCAGGATTTAAATTACTTCGTTTATTACTTTTCAGTAATTGCATTAAAGTACATTAATTTCTTTGTATTCATATGTTGTTTCATTTTCAACTAAATATTCAAATGTCAGTTTACGCAAATAACAATTTAATATTAGGAAATTATTTGTTATGCAAAATTAGGAAACAAATTTTAATGAACGAATTAATGAACTTGGATTAACAACAAAATTAATTAACATGCAAATTTTACGGATTGTTTTTTTTTTCTTCTTCTTTGCTATGGAAAGGGAAATAAAGACAATGAGATTTTGTTTTAATTAAACTCTGGGGAGTCGTTATGATCGCTTCTTTGCTCGCTAATTCAGTTGGTACGTTTTATAATTGAGTTCTTTATAAAATGTAAAAGAACAAAGTTGAACCTATTAAAAAAAAAAAACAAAATGTTTTAGATCTAGGAGTTGATAGATACCTTGCAAAACGCTCCTTATCCTGAATGTTGTCGTCTTCCATTCTTGTGTATTTGCTTCCACTTGGGTCGTCCTCATCTGACCTAAAATAGAAAAAAAGAAAATGTTTAGTATTTGAAGCATGGAAAGTCTTGTGATCTGAACTAGTTCCACTGAGGTGTTATTGTTTGTCTGATCACCGTCGGGCAGGCATAGCGTTCCAATTAGCTAATGAATTAATTGGAGGCATTTAAATTCCTCGTGTTAATAGCATCGATGCAATTAATCGTTGGAGCACGCAAATTGTCGAAATGGATGGATGCAATGAAAAACAAACAGGAGGCTGCGGATGCATTGCGTGTACATCGGCTCATCCGAATTATTTATGCTGTCGTGTAAACAGCAGAAATCCGCATTGAAATAAATGCATGGAGATTTATGATTGGTGCGTGCTGGGATTGAATTGTTTTGCCGATATGGGCAGCACGGTTAAGGGAGGTGTGACGTCCAGTTTTGCTAATCGCAATATTGATACAGAGTTCGCATCCGGTGTTGATTGTGACCGCAACACGTTGCAAATACGTGTTGATTGATATAAATGTAAGATCATCAAACGCGCTACCGCGGAAAATGGAATTATCACAGTAGGATTACCGGGATGGGCCGAAAGGGTTGTTTTCGCATTTCCCCTCGGGCGGCGGCAATGGGAATGGAAATGGAAATGGGGGGACGGCTGGTTGCCGGCTGAATGCCCTCCAATCGTTCCCCTCACCTGACGCCCTCTGTTTCTACCGTAAATCTGCATTACGTGCTCCGATCGGATGATAACAGCCTCATTAGTAAACCGTAAATCGGATGATAGTGGCGCGTCGCTGGCCCTTTAAGTAAATACGATATTTATTACTAATTCCATACACACAGATATCTCCAACTTTGTTAATATCTACTATCTGCAAGCTACTTAATGGGACCATAAATATCGACTCTTTTACTTAGTTCCTACATTATTATGCGCTCCTCTCTTCTTTTGCATCATTAAAAATTCCACCGCGATCGTGGTCCAAACCTAACGTTCGTAAATTCCCATTGATCGCTGATCATGCATCACTTCTCACAACCAGCAATTAAGACAATAAGGAACAAACTTTTACTCTGGAGTAAATATTACTTTTTAGAGGTTACACCATTATTGATTATATTTTCACTTAATTCGGCAAGCGGATGTATTTTCTTGATGACTTGCATATACTTTTTGTTTCGGGGAAAAATGTTATTGATCATTGAAGGACTCTGCGGGAGAGTGAGTAAATGGAATTCACCGATCACCATCTATTTTTAATATAAGCAATAGAATTTTCAATCTATTGATACATCGAAATTGAAAGCTACCCCGCCACATTTGTGCTTTCGCAACATCGCACGAGAGAACTTAATGCAACAATAACATTATCCAGTTTGTTTTCGATTTCAAAGATGATTCATAAGCGCACTCGTGGAATACAAAGATAATAGTAACATTTCACTAGAAAATGTTATTTTAACCTTATTATTAATTTGTAATTTTTCATATATCAAAAAACCATAACTGATTTTAATTCAAAATAACAAAACAAATATAAATTGACTATATTATATATTTCACTATTGATATAATATTATAAATAAAAATGGATCCAGGAAATATAGCATAGGAGATGTGTTCGGATCTTGGGAACCTAGGACGCCTTTGAACCTAGATCCAACTGCGTGACAGATGGAGATAGGGTGCTGCGACGATGATCACGATGACAGGAACATAGCAGGATCAGATCCGGGCCGAAGATACGTCGCTCAAAACGGAATTTCCTGCTACGATTCCACAAGGTAAAAGAAAAGGCGCAGATCATAATAGTAATGTGTTGGAGGAGGAGAAGGAGGAAGGAGAAACAAGGAATTGCACAAGCAACCCGATTCCGTCGGCCGCTCGGTGTTTACATAAACAAGCGATTCTGCAGGATCAGCGGTTTGGCGCAACGCTTTTGTTTGAAAGGACCTTCCCTGCGTCGATGCATTACGAAATTAGAACGATTCTTGGTGGAGGAGGTGAAGTCCACCGGGGAAAAGTTCTCGGAACCAAAGGAAATCCTCGCTGGCGTACAGCGATGAACTTTTGTTCTGAACGAGTGTTACGACGACTAATCAAAATAATGAATCTCACTTACAACGCATTTACATTTTACACATTCCCATTCCAAGAGACGTCTAAATACGATTTCGTAATTATCATGCTTCGCGTAAATATAAATTATACAAGTATATAATAGTGATAAATCTCGGCCACTTAACGTAATTAGATGCCACGTAGCATTATTGCTATTTGCAATGTACGCGACTCTCTCTCATTCAGTGTACTCTCCCCCAAATTGGGACACCGCAAACGAACGCGACATTCTTTTCATCTTCATCTCATCATATCGCGAATTATAGTTGTAACGACAATAATTATGCTGGGAATCGGGGAAATGATTTACGTAAGCGCAGTAAATGTAATCGCATTTCGCCGGAATTATATGCAATTGAATTCAATTTGAAGCCAAGGTCTGGTCGGGCGAATCATCGTAGGCATAGGTTTGAAGATAAGTGGGAATGCCTACCTAACGTAAAGAACGAGAGAAAAAAGGCATGCAATACCGGCCGCTGTTCGCACGCACTTAAGATAAACTCCCCTCGATAAGAAACTCACAATTAGAGCCGCTTTCCAGCAGAAACACGGTTTCACCGCCGCCCCCACCAATGGAAATTAGCAATAGCATTATTTCATTGGGAACCGCTCAAACTTATCACCATTTTCCAACGAAATTATCGCTGTTTGCAGGCTCTTGTTTGATACGCAAATAAAAATAATTCACTTTTTGCTTTAAGATAAATTCAAGACGATAAGCGACGCTTGTAATTTATATTCCCCCTAAACGGAATTCCCTCATACGTCAAAAAAAAGATTATCTAAGAATGTTTAACACTTATTATTTGCTTAATCTTTTTAATTGCTAATGGTGCATATTTCAATGAAACATATTTTGATAAATTAATATCATTAAGACATTTGAATTAATTTATAATACCAATAAATAAACTTTATATTTACAAAAATATATAAATTAAATTTATGATGGAAAGATGAATAATGGTACTATAATGTACACATTAACATGGATTTATTATTAAACATCTATTTAACAAGCAGTTAGCAACTGTGTACATTGTACTATTTCTTGAAAACGAACAACAGCAATAATTCACATGTTAGGTGTATAATTGACTGCACACCGACACATTCATCACCGGCCGAAGGTGGAGGGCCACCATCGGAGAATGGGCAAACCTGAAAATCGCAGCTGCAATAAACCGACGAAGTTATGGATTCATAAACAGCCCCGCCATTCCCAGAACTGATATACCCGTAGCACAGCAAAGCGCGACTATAATGTAACTGTATTTCGTGTTTAAATTGAACGAACAATGGGGGTTTTCGTGAAGAAAAAGGGACAGAGGTTCGCATGTTGCACAGGCAGATGATCATCGAAGAAGTCCTGTATTTCGTTCCCGAAATATGAAATAAAATTGCCGCAATTATTATAATACCCGATCTCTTATCCTATACATATATGTGTATAAGTATTATGTGTGAATGTGTTGTGAGTTGGGGCAGTTCGAACCCCGAAATGTTATAGTACCGTGCATCATCTGGCATCAAAATTTCAGAAACGTCCCGCATACCGCACTACCTGATGGAGATTTTCGAGCTGCGATAAAGTGGTCGTCGGGAACAGAAGGAGACATGAAATAAAGAAATACTTGCGTACGGAATAATACATGTTTATGCGTGGTGTGCCTCTTTTATGATCGTATTTACATATCGCTTCCTGTTGCACTTAAATAAATATTGTTGTGCAGCAGTAGCATAGAACAGGCCGGAGGACAGGACATGTTTTGGTAACTTAAGAACGACGTCCAACTTACATTCAAGGATTTTAAAGAATTTCTTGAAAACAACATTCGTACATTCAATAGGATTTTAAACTACTTTCAGTAGTCTGACAGTAAAATCATAATTTTATTTCTTATTGTTACTGCATAAGTCATGTATTAATAAATTTGATAATTTTTCAATAAATAAAATTATTTTTTTGTCTTTGACACTCTTTCATATATAACATTTATTATAGAATTTTCTTCATCTTGAAACAACAGAAATGTATTTTTTGTATATGAAATCCTATATAAAATCGTTAAACCGGATTTAACACACTTAACAATGTTACAATTCGCTTTTATAGCTGATTATTAAAAGTTCAATTTTACAGCGAGCATTAATCAAACGACCGCTTTTTATTATTTATTTACGGCTGTAAAACATACACATCATACACACCTGGAATTTATGTTTCCTTTATTTTTGGGTTATCATCGATGCAATAAAAGCGAAACGATAGGAAAAAAACCTAGTTCACAAAGAAAACAAAATAAATAAATAATAAAAATAAGGAGCGAAACATGTAATTTGTGTGTGTATGTGTGTGGTGTACCTGAAGTAATGAAGTGCTCGGTTCTCACGTGACGCGGGGTCACAGTAAACGAAGTTCCGAGTAACGGCACGACAAACGCATTGTGCGATGCCTTATTGTCATTCAAAGGAAAATAATAAACAACGACATGCAGGGAATGAGCAAAACTGTCCACTTAGTGCATTGTCTTGTTTATGGGCTGGCTGCGGTTTCGGAACGTTTCCATTATTTAACCCTCCCGGTGATAATTGATAAGCGATGACGATTAATAAGTTGATGGATTATCACCGATTATTTTATTTGCTTAAAAAAACAAGCCGAAAAGCGTTATCGGAATATTTAAAATTAAACCATTTCGAGAGCATATAAAGACTCGTACACACCAATGATGAAAATCGAAGAAAGCGCTGCTCCGTACTTTTTTTTTAATAATATTTTTGAATATCTCTTTGCTCGTAATTGAGGTTGAGGTTAAACTTTCCGAAGAAACCGTGACACAAAAGGAGTACTGATATTGAATGTGAAATAGCGAAATTAAAGTCTAATTAGGCTTAGCCTCA